TGTCCAAAGCCGGAGATGTTCTTTAGGCCTCTCCACACGCCGCGGGCGTTTCCCTGGGCCAGCTTCTGCTCCAGCTTTTTCCCATAGTCCTTCTTGGCCCTCCTGATCCTCCACTGGAGCTCGTGCTGGATCCTCTTCTGCTCCTCCCTGTCCCCTGAGATGAAAGCCCTTTTCTTGAGGATCAGGAGGGCTTTAAGCTCAGGGGTCACCCATGGGTGGTTGTTAGAAAAACACCGCACCTTCTTAGTTGGTACAGTATTATCCACACAGAAGAGAATATAGTCTGTAATGCAGTGTGTCAGGCTCTCGATGTCCTCACCATGAGAGCTGCAGATCATTTCCCAATCAGTGTTTTGAAAACAATCTCTCAGCATCTCATCCACATCATCGCTCCACACTTTTACAATCCTCTTCTGCGCTGGATTTCTTCTCAACACTGGTGTGTATTCCGGAGACAGACGGACCAGGCTGTGATCAGAGCGTCCGAGAGGGGGGAGGGGGGAGGAGGCGTATGCGTCCCGCACAATAACATACAGTAGGTCCAGAGTCTTATTGCCACGAGTTGGGCACGTGACATACTGTTTGAATGTCGGGAGAGTGGCGGAGAGGGAGAAGTGGTTAAAGTCTCCGCTGATCAGAATCGGAGCGCGGGGACTGCGGGTCTGGATCTGGGTCACAGTTCTGTGTATCCCCTCACATGCTGCGGCCCCGTCTCCTGATGGGGGGATGTAAACACATAAAACCATGGTGTGTGAAAACTCCCGCGGCAGATACCTGGGTCTCATGCTCACAGCGAGCAGCTCCAGGTCCTGTGTGCATGTACGCTGAACCACATGCACGTGCGTCGGGATGCACCACTCGTTCACGTAGACCGCGACACCCCCGCCTTTCCTCTTCCCACTCCCCTCCGCGCAGCGGTCCGCTCGCACAAGTTTAAATCCCTCCAGCGCGACCACAGAGTCAGGTATATTTCCACACAGCCACGTCTCAGAGAAACACATAAGTCTACATTGTCTGTACTCTTTATGATGGCGGACCAGTGCGGTCAGCTCCTCAGTCTTATTAGAGATGGACCGTACGTTCCCCATGAGGTTGGAGGGGAGATACGGTCTCTTCTTCCTCTTTCGGCCTCCTCTGGAGCCCCTGCGTCTCCTACGGATCTCCAAGGGGATCACCGGCTTCTCTGAGTGCCGGAAAGTGCCGGTCTCTAAGTCCGAGAAGCTGCTCCCGTGTGTAAACAATGGGACACGCTGGTCTCGTGGCTCTGTGAGCGGAGGACTCCGAAAAAAGTGCCGAAGACATGTTAATCCAGTGAGAAAGTCCACGAGGCTAGGCTTCCCGTGTGCACAATGCACAAATAAACGCTTGTCTACAAAAAATAAAAATAAAAAAGCACATCTACAAGAAATAAATAGAGAAAGGGTCGGAAAGAGAAGAGAGCCAAAGTGACGAGCTGCACAGCGGGAGCTGGCGCCGGAATTATAGCAGTCTTCAGCTCTTTCCACAGATTCTCGATTGGATTCAGGTCTGGACTTTGACTTGGCCATTCTAACACCTGGATACGTCTATTTGTGAACCATTCCATTGTAGATTTGGCTTTATATGTTTTGGATCATTGTCCTGTTGGAAGATAAATCTCCGTCCCAGTCTCAGGTCTTTTGCAGACTCCAACAGGTTTTCTTCCAGAATGGTCCTGTATTTGGCTCCATCCATCTTCCCATCAATTTTAGCCATCTTCCCTGTCCCTGCTGAAGAAAAGCAGGCCCAAACCATGATGCTGCCACCACCATGTTTGACAGTGGGGATGGTGTGTTCAGGGTGATGAGCTGTGTTGCTTTTACGCCAAACATATCGTTTTGCATTGTGGCCAAAAAGTTTGATTTTGGTTTCATCTGACCAGAGCACCTTCTTCCACATGTTTGGTGTGTCTCCCAGGTGGCTTGTGGCAAACTTTAAACAAGACTTTTTATGGATATCTTTGAGAAATGGCTTTCTTCTTGCCACTCTTCCAAAGGCCAGATTTGAGCAGTGCACAACTGATTGTTGTCCTATGGACAGACTCTCCCACCTCAGCTGTAGTTATCTGCAGTTCATCCAGAGTGATCATGGGCCTCTTGGCTGCATCGCTGATCAGTCTTCTCCTTGTTTGAGATGAAAGTTTGGAGGGACGGCCGGGTCTTGGTAGATTTGCAGTGGTCTGATACTCCTTCCATTTCAATATAACTGCTTGCACAGTGCTCCTTGAGATGTTTAAAGCTTGGGAAATCTTTTTGTATCCAAATCCGGCTTTAAACTTCTCCACAACAGTATCTCGGACCTGCCTTGTGAGTTCCTTTGTCTTCATGGTTCTCTCAGCGCTTTAAACAGAACCCTGAGACTATCAAAGAGCAGGTGCATTTATACGGAGACTTGATTACACACAGGTGCATTCTATTTATCATCATCAGTCATTTAGGACAACATTGGATCATTCAAAGATCCTCACTAAACTTCTGGAGTGAGTTTGCTGCACTGAAAGTAAAGGGGCCGAATAATATTGCACGCCCCACTTTTCAGTTTTTTATTTGTTAAAGTTTAAATTATCCAATTCATTTTGTTCCACTTCACGATTGTGTCCCACTTGTTGATTCATGACAAAAAATTAAAATTTTATATCTTTGTTTGAAGCCTGAAATGTTGAAAAGTTCAAGGGGGCCGAATACTTTCGCAAGGCACTGTAGTTAATTTGGCACTTTACAGATGCCCCGGTTTGCCACCATGTAATGTCTCCCATTACAGTGCTAAATAGATACAGTCAGAAACCTTATTGATCCCCGTAGGAGATCAATGTTTCTTTGTTTCTTTAGCATTTTTCAAAAAGTTAGCATTCCTCCTGTGGATTTTCGCCTGATCCGCTTGGTTCGGACCATGAGTCCTCTCCGCTCTGGTCTGGACCAGTGCAAAACCAGGAACACTGTACTGCAGCAACGTCTCAGGTAGAAAAAAGCAATAAAAATAAATATTGTAAAGCACTAAACAACAACTGTTTGTCAGAGCTACTTAGGACTTGCAGCCGTTTTCCAGCGTATTCAAAATTAAGTCTGGGGATTCACAATATTGATTTATCTTCCAGAGGTGAAACATCTTTGAATGTTTAATCCATTGCCCTCCTCTGATCGTTCCTCAAACAAAGCTTAATCTGTAACATTTGTCGTGGCATCTATGGGTCTAAGTATTGGCATCCGGAAAGTATTCACAGTGCTTCAATTTTTTCACATTTTGTTATATACAGCCTCATTCATAAATGTATTCCATCCATCCATCCATTTTCTGCCCTTTAATCCATTTCTGGGTCAGGGGGGTGGCAATCAGAGATGCCACCCAAGTCTCATAGCACCAGCCCCTCACTGATCCTCTGCAGGTGGTGAGTCCACAGGAGGACGGCTGCTCTCTGAGTGTGAGCATAGCCTTGATCTTTCAGTGGGGGCTTTTTGGGCAAAGTGGGGTTAAGTGTCTTGCCCAAGGACACAACGACAGCAGTCATCAGTGGGAGTCGATGGAGAAGGTGCAGAGGTGGGAATTGAACCCACGACCTTCTGGCTTTAAGGCCAATGCTCTACCAACTGAGCTACTGTCGCCCCTGAATTGAATACATAAGTACATAAATGTATTCAATTCAGTTTTTTCCTCACAATTCTACACACAACACACCATAATCACAACATGAAAAAAGTTTTTTTGAGTCTTGTTAATTTATTAAAAATAAAAAAACTAAAACCACATGTACATAAGTATTCACAGCCTTTGCCATGAAGCTCAAAATTGAGCTCAGGTGCATCCTGTTTCCACGGATCATCCTTGAGCTGCTTCTAGAGCTGGCCGGCCATCTAAACTGAGCGATCTGGGAAGAAGGGCCTTAGTCAGGGAGGTGACTAAGAACTTTGTCAGAGCTCCAGCGTTCCTCTGTGGAGAGAAGGGAACCTTCCAGAAGGACAGCCATCTCTGCAGCAATCCACAAATCAGGCCTGTATGGTAGAGTGGCCCGACGGAAGCCGTTCCTTAGTTTGGAGTTTGCCAAAAGCACCTGAATGACTCTCGGACCAGGAGTAAAAAAAAATTCTCTGGTCTGATGAGACAAAGATTGAACTCTTTGGCGTGAATGCCAGGCGTCATGTTTAGAGGAAACCAGGCACTGCTAATCACCAAGCCAATACCATCCCTACAGTGAAGCATGGTGGTGGTAGCATCATGCTGTGGGGATGTTTTTCAGTGGCAGGAACTGGGAGACTGGTCAAGATAGAGGGAAAGTTGAATGCAGCAATGTACAGAGACATCCTGGATGAAAACCTGCTCCAGAGCGCTCTTGACCTCAGACTGGGGCGACGTTTCATATTTCAGCAGGACAATGACCCTAAGCACACAGCCAAGATAACAAAGAAGTGGCTTCAGGACAACTCTGTGAATGTCCTTGAGTGGCCTAGCCAGAGCCCAGACTTGAATCCAATTGAAAATCTCTGGAGAGATCTGAAAATGGCTGTGCACCGACACTCCCCATCCAACTTGATGGAGCTTGAGAGGTGCAGCAAAGAGGAATGGGCAAAACTGCCCAAAGACAAGTGTGCCAAGCTTGTGGCATCATATTCAAAAAGACTTGAGGCTGCAATTGCTGCCAAAGGTGCATCAACAACGTATTAAGCAAAGGCTGTGAATACTTATGTGCATGTGGTTTCTTAGTTTTTTTATTTTTAATAAATTTATAAGAATCTCTAAAAAACTTTTTTCATGTTGTCATTATGGGGTGTTGTGTGTAGAATTGTGAGGGGGAAAAAAAATAATTGAATCAATTTTGGAATAAGGCTGTAACATAAAAAAAATTGGAAAAAGTGAAGTGCTGTGAATACTTTCCGGATGCACTGTATCTAAACGAGGTATGTAAAAATAAGAACCTTTATGTGACTCACAGAGTGGCCAAAGTAGGTGTTAATTTCATAGATTAAATACACTTATGTTTATTTTCACAGGAGAAGTGACACCGGGTTTGAGTCAATCTGAGTATGAACTCCGAAGATACAAACTGGCTTCACTCATTGAGGCTCAAGCTGAAAGAATGGGATCGTCTACCTCCTCCAATCAGAATGTAGTAGTTGTTGTGCTGTCTCATCCAACTCGCTACATGACAAATGACATCCCATATCCCTTCCATCAAAACCAGGTATAATTATCATACATGCATTGGAAAAAAACAGTGAAAAAAAGCTGGACTTGAATGATTTAGAATATGATCTCTCGCAGGATTTTCTTTACCTGACTGGGATTCTTGAACCTGACAGTGCCCTGATTCTCCATGGAAGAAGAAGACCCGACCAGGCTATTTTATTTGTCCCTCGTAGGGACCCATCTCGGGAGCTGTGGGATGGCCCAAGATCAGGACGGAATGGGGCTGCAGCACTCACAGGCATCGAGAGGGTTCATTGCACAGAAGAACTAGGTGTTGTACTAAAGAGTCTTAAAGGTAAGGTTTGTTATTATTATGTCTCTATTTTCTTTCATGTCAATATCAAACTGAATGAAATGGCCTTTTCTTCCTCTTGAAAATATTAGGGACTTCATTGTGGTATGACAGTTCACAACCAAGCCACCCTAAGCTGCACCAGGCGCACCTGTCCCATGTACTCGAGAGCACGTCAATGCCTCGCTCCCTCAGACCTCTTCTACATTCTCTTAGAGCAATCAAAAGTCCTTCCGAAGTAGCACTCATGAAAGAGGCTGGTCGCATCACAGCTCAGGTATAAATGTCTAAAAAAGAAAAAAAAAAAAAAGAAAAGGATAACTAATAGATCATATTTTAGGCATTTAAAAGAACCATGGCACTATCCCAAGGAGACATAGATGAAGCTCTACTTTTTGCGAAGGTACGTAATGCATTAATGATATTATTGTTATTGATATATTGGTTTGCAGTTCTAATACAACCAATGATGCTATTAAATGTAATGTATGTTTCTTCTAGTTTGACTTTGAAAATCGGTTACATGGTGCAAACTTCTTGGCCTACCCTCCTGTAGTGGCTGGAGGAAACCGAGCGAATACACTTCACTATATAAACAACAACCAAATAATCAAAGTAAAGAGTTTGTTGCTTCTTCTGAGCCTCTAAACCATTCACCTTATGGAATTAATTGAGCTCACGTTTCATTTCAGGATGGTGAAATGGTTCTTCTTGATGGTGGTTGTGAATACTTTGGTTACGTTAGCGACATTACTCGGACCTGGCCTGTAAATGGAAAGTAAGTACTTTGTATTATAGTGATGTGGAAATACAACTGGGCTTCAACATCCAAGGTTTGCAACTAAATGCCTTCACTTTATGTGTACTGAGCAAAAATATAAATGCATTGTTTTCCATTTTTTTATGAGCTGATTAGAGACAAAATCATCCAGAGATAAAACTGTCCAATTGGGGAAACATGTGGATGTTTAGTCGAATGAACCATTTACCATCTAAAAGTCTAAAATGTATTTTGCTTGTTGCACTTTCTCTTCAGACACATGGATTCCCACAACAATTTTCTTATGAAATAAATTAAAGATTTATAAAGATTTATTTAGGGCGACAGTAGCACAGTTGTAACCCTAATCCACCACAAGATTTTCTCTACCGATTCCAACTGATGTCTGCTGTTGTTGTGTCCTTGGCAAGACACTTCACCTCTGGGAACACCAGGTGCCACACTGGGGTGGCTGCGGCTGTAAAGTGCCAAACTGCTGTGGTGTCCTTAAAGACACTTCACCCTCATTGCCTAGAATTAGGCCCTGTTTATACTGAGACGCTGCGCAGACGTTTCCAGGCTATTAACAGAAACGACCTGGCTCCTAATGCAAATCTCTCAGCGTTCACATGAGGTTGAAAAACGATGTAGTTCTAGCGCCCGGCCAGTAGTGGGCAGAGAAACTTTACAACACTCTCGGCAGTGTACTCACTTCCTGTGCCAGACCCTCAGAACGTACCAACATCATTCTGCATTTTAATAGCATCTGGGAAAAAGGAAACTGAACCTAGAGCTTCGCGTGGTCTCGTTTGGACGAACAAAGGTGTAGAATTATCCTCCGTGCTGCGCTGGAAGCCCACGAAGCTAGTTAGTGCGACCGCCGCCATTGTTGTTTATGTTTGTTCTCCGCTACTGCGCATGTCCAAATTTACGTGCGGGGAGCAGAGGGGGATTTCACACTTTTTCCCTATCACGGGTGTGAAAGAGCTCCCCACTGTGCAGCGTTTCTGAGGCCCTGTTTATACTGAGACGCTGCGTAGACGTTTCCAGGCTATAAACAGAAACGACCTGGCTCCTAATGCAAATTTCTCTGCGTTCACATGAGATTGAAAAACGATGTAGTTCTAGCGCCCGGCCAGTAGTGGGCAGAGAAACTTTACAACACTCACACGACCCCCCAGCCCCGTGCCCAGCCCCCCTCTCGGCAGTGTTGCCAACTTAGCGACTTTGTCGCTAGATTTAGCGACTTTTCAGACCCCTATAGCGACTTTTTTTCAAAAAAGCGACTAGCGACAAATCTAGCGACTTTTTCTGGTGTTATTGGCGACTTATCTGGTGTTTTGGCTACTTATCTGGTGTTTTGGAGACTCGTGAAGCACGTATTGTTCTGCTGTCCTCAACGTGAGCCCCTCCCCCGTCCCAAAGCACTTACAGGCGGCCAGTCTCACAGTAGCCTTGCGCAGCAGTCCCAGCTACAGTCTATGGGCGGAGCAGAGAGAGAGAGAGGAGACTCAAAAGCACAGGAAGTTTTCAGGCTGCTGCAGACTGAACTTCAGCTCCACCACCACCACACATCCAAAGCTCCCCGGCCACTCCTACCACCGCCACCCCCCACTACCCCCCACTCCATCCGCGGCAGCTCTGTCCGTGACTCTGTTTTCTCTCAGTAGTGGGTCACATTAAATCATTTGTTATGCCAAACTATGAAAAAAAAAAAAAACTTACAAAAATAAACCTAAGTAACTCTGCCAGAGTGTGTCTTTTGGGTCACTTTGCCGGTCCCAAGCCCGGATAAAGGAGGAGGGTTGGTTGTAGAGCTAGCAATTTCACCCTACATAACAATCTTTTGATTAAATTTGCTGTTATAACATTTAACAATACAGGACAAAACTGATGTGTGTAATGTGGATCTAGACAAAGCATTAAAATCATTAAATGTTGTTAATGTTGAAATTATTTTTGTACATTTGTAGTTCTAAACATATTTAGGGTGTTTTTACTCACTTTTGTCTCTCCCACGACCTTATTCCTCTCTCCTACAGCGTCCGTTACAGTTATTTGCAAATGGCAAATTATGCAAATTAGGCGATGACGTCATTTAGCGACTTTTGGGACAGGCAATAGCTACTTTCCTTACTGAGGAGTTGGCAACACTGCCTCTCGGCAGTATACTCACTTCCTGTACCAGACCCCCAGAGAGTACCAACATCATTCTGCATTTTAACAGCAGCTGTGAAAATGGGAACTGAACCTAGAGCTTCGCGTGGACGAACGAAGGTGTAGAATTATCCTCTGTCCCGCGCTGGAAGCCCACGTAGCTAGTTAGTGTGCGCGGCGCCATTATCTGAACACTTACGTTTTCACCCCCCTGGAACACAATCTTCGTATGAACGGTTGGTAGGAACCGACATCCAACTATACCGTTTTACTGCCACATTGTCTCCGTGTAAACTCGGCCTCAGATACACTGCTCAGCGGGGGCTCTTTTTCCCACCCGCGTAAGGAAAAATGTGTGAATTCCCTGCCTGATCTGACCCCCACCTCCCCGCTGCTCCCCGCACATAAATTTGGTCATGCGCTGTAGCCGAGAACAAACGTAAACAACAATGGTGGCGGGTACACTAACTAGCTTCTTGTAAGTAAGTAAGTAAGTAAGTAAGTAAGTAAGTAAGTAAGCTTTATTTATATACCGCCTTTCACAGACCAGAGTCACAAAGCGGTTTACAATTGTTATTTTTTTTTTGGGCACTTGTCCTCTCACTCCACACAGAGATGGGAGCGGGGTCGCCAGTACAGGAGGCGCATGCCAGACCTATTGTACATATTTTTAGTGGTGCTTGTGCTTGTGCTTGGAGCGCTACACAGAGGATAATTCTTCACCTTCATTCGTCCAAACGAAACCACACAAAGGTCTAGGTTCAGTTTCTATTTTCGCAGCTGCTGTTAAAATGCAGAATGATGTTGGTGCATCTTTCACGTCTTCCAGAGGAAGTGAGTACACTGCTGGGGGGGTGCTGGGGGTCACGTGTGTCGTGTTGTAAAGTTCCTCTGCCCACTACTGGCCGGGCGCTAGAACCACATAGTTTTTGATACTCGTATGCATGCTGTGAAATTTGCATTAGGAGCCTAGCCGTTTCTGTTAATAGCCTGGAAACGTCTGCGCAGCAACTCCGTATAAACTCAGCCTAAGCTTAATTTACCTCGCCAAAATTGCCTTGCCATTTGAATACATTCTCAAATGTTTGTTATTCATTATTTGTAACTAAGCAGCAGACCTTTTTTTCTTTAGATTTAACCCTGCTCAGGCTGAACTCTATGAAGCAGTCTTTGAAGTGCAGCGTTCATGTTTGACCCTGTGTTCCCCGGGGGTCAGTCTGGATCACATCTACAGTTCTATGCTTGCATTATTGGGGCGGCAGCTGAAGCGGTTGGGGATCATCAAGACCAGTACAAGTGACGCTGATGCACTTAAGGTAAATGTGATAAGTTAGTTGCTTTTGGATGGTGAGTTAAAATCCTCACCATACTGCAGCTGGAGTAAAATCCTCCAGCTGCAGTAGTCCTGACCAAGCCGAGCATCAACATCTGGAGATGGGTTCCCAGGAGCTGTACAACGGCGACCACTGCTCCTGATGTAAGCCTTAGTGGCATTAGGATGGGTCAAATGCAGAGGATGAATTGCCCTATGGGGATTAATAAAGTGCACCTTTTACCTTTTAATATTAGCACTGATAATCGTTCAACCCCAACTTCTACTACTCTGGCAGAATTGCTACTTTCTATTCTTTGCAACATGTTTGAGTGCATATGCCCCATTAGGAGCAGTCCCTGGTTAAACGCAAGGTTAGAGGTTCAGGAGTGATCTGTAGAGAAATATGTCTTTCTCACGTTTCATTATAAATGTGTTTTAATTTCAATTTTATTTTAGGCAGCGCGTCGGTACTGTCCACATCATGTTGGACATTATTTAGGAATGGACGTCCATGACACCCCTGAATTATCTCGCTCCCAGCCTTTACAGCCTGGGATGGCTATCACCATTGAACCAGGTATAAACTATAAATATAAAAAAGTGCCCCATCCTGCCATTTCATCATCACTTTAATTTTAACGAATGCCCTGACAGGTTGTTTCGCAGCTGAGAATAAAGTGTGAAGCATCCTCATTGTCAACGTTATTTTCTACTTTTATTCTAGGCTTGTACATCTGTGAGGACAACAGTGAGGCCCCACAGCACTTTCGAGGTCTGGGAATCAGGATTGAGGACGATGTTGTGATTCAAAATAAAGGAGGCCCCCTCATTTTGTCTTCTGAGGTACCAAAGAGTATTGCTGAGGTGGAGAACGCGTGTGCCCAGCGATAGGACAACTATGATAAGGTTAAGTGAATCAAATCTGTTTTTAGTGGTGCCTTTTTGAAACAAGATCATGACTGTTTTTTTGTACTAAGTAGAAGTATTTCTTCATATTTATATAAATTCCAAAAGAGAGATTTGCTGTCAATAAAGATCATTCTTATCATACACTGGGATTACATTGAAACAACATTAAACTATCTTGTGTAACACACTCTATGGCTATGGTTTCCTAAATCTTTCTCAACGCCTTTTGTCATTTTTTGCATTTATTACATTGTACAGTGTATTTTACAGTGATGTAATCATTTATTTTTTCTAGATTGATGGTCACATGCACGTTTCTATAACTTTGAAAAATTAAAGCTTGAGTGTGTAATGTAAGAATAAATATTTAAAGTATTTGATTACTTCTCATAAAACCCATTTGATCAGTTTCCAACAATCCAGTTTCCTAAAACGCATGTTGATGAAAACATGGAAACCGGAAGTTTACATACACTGTAAATATACACGTACAATACATTGGATGAGGCACATGCTTATATTATCCCAAACCCAAAATAATACCATACAGCGGATTCAGCAAAAAAAAAAAACTCAACAGTATAATACTGTATAGTCAGACAATACACTACTGCAAATGTTATGACAGACAAGACACAGGCCCAAAAACTCTGACCCTACGAGTACCTCCCATCAACTCTGTTTAGAAGCATTGAGCATTTAGTTCAGCAGAGCATTGTTTACAATGAAGCGGTTATCAGGGTCAGATGTGGACTGGTCGAAGCCTTTGTGACTCTGTATTGCTCTTGGAACCTGTGGATGAAACCGCTCATGGGCTTCAGTCAGAGACCCTGTTAGAAGCCTCACAGTTAATGTTTTGGTCTCATTATGTCAAATGTGCACAGTGTGATTAGGACTGTTTCAATTCCAGTTGTAGTTGTACATAAGAATTAATTGGTCGATCCACAGGTCAAACGCTAATTGTTCTCAAATGGGTCTCCCTCCCTGTGGGTTTCCCTAGTTCTCCCCAAGGTTTCTCACTTTTTTCCCACTGGGTTTTTTAATAGTTTTCCTTGTCGATGCAGGAGGGTCTTGTTGGACAGTTAGTGTCCAACAGAAAGGATTGGTGATGATCCAGGACACTTTAGCATTCTACAACATGTATGGACATTTTCTTCTGTGTGTGCTTTGTATTTTTCATGTGTTTTAACTGTTGATTCTCTGACCTGTGTTGGTGATTTCAATGGTTTTGTTAAGTCCTCTGAGATGACTTCTGTTGTGACCTAGGGCTATACATTGTATTGTATTGTATTGACCTTCTTGGAAAACTGCAAATTGTGCATAAAATGTTGCACCCACATGTTCATTGAATCGTTGTGAGAACTTTACCTGTGAAAGTTGTAAAGGCCATTCTGAAATCTCACCTGAAATTGAGCATCATTTATTGTTTTATTTGCTACAATAGCTAAAAAAAATTAATAGGCTTTAATACATTTCCCCTTTGCTGGCTGACGGTCTATGATAATTACTATACAGTCTATGGGCAGTGGTGTGCAACATCTCCCTTATTCATCATATGCATTAGTCCAAGTACATTCAAGGGAATGAATTGGGTCATTCAAGTATGCAGCTATACATACATGAATGTGGAATACGTCCACATTTTTGAGCGTCAAAATGCAATGAAAAGTCACCCCTTCCTCTCTGGCAGCCGATACATCCCTGAGTGACACCTACAATCTCCCCCATCTTCCCTTTTCTCCTCCTCCTTCACGCCTAATGTTGCTGTACCTCCAACCCTCCCCCGTCAGGAGTAAAACAACAAGCAGCCATTTTGTTTGTGCGGACGCTGGCAGACCGACAAAACCGGGACAGAGATAACCGACTGAAGGCTCCTGTGGACCCAGAGCCTCTCCAGGCGGACTAGTGAAGGGCGACTGACTGCACTTTTCACCACCACAAAGACCAGGAAGGACGAGCAAAGAGTGACATGTTTATGTAGATGTCTGTGTACAAGGAAAGAACATTACTCCGAACCTTCAAGCAAGAGGGTGTTTGCGGAGACGGGAGGAGAGGCGGAAGAGCAACACATTTTACGAAGAAAAGCCCAGCCATAAGTGGGATACAACATGAAAGATCATTATGCGTCTGAAGCGGAGGAAGCAAAGAGCTCCCACTGAAAATTGTGAAATAAATTGCTCCTGGGCTGCAGAAGGGAAAGGTGGAAAGAAATGTTGGTTTAAAAGGAAGGAAAACACGGCACTCCATCACAACGACTCGACATGGATTTTTACTCAAACATGTGGCGCTCTTTAAAACACAAGACTTTGTCGTCGGAGTAGTTTTTCCACCTACGATCAACGATTAAGAAGTGTCAAAAAGACGTTTATCTTCTAAAAAAAAAAAACTAGCACGATACATTTGACGGCTTGGCAATTTACGCTGCCCCCATAATCATACTATCCAAAAAGAATCTCGCAGCCACCGCACTGTGATTTATAAAACTTATTTCCCGTTTACAAAAGGCTGCGATAGAAAAGTAATTTGTTTTTTGTGTGGTCAAACACCCAGCGCGCAAGTCTGCATGAGAGTTTTGTACTGAAATGCCTCATAGCTGCAAGCAGAATTAATGACTGTTTAACACAGACCGTGGACATCATTTGACTGTGCACTTACTACACGAATTGAACACGATTGTCTGGCCACTTTTACCTAAATGCCCCAAGACTGTAGTTTACTTCTGTGCGCATACATCGCTAAATGTTTTAACCCAGCGGATTTGGAGAGGATGGTGGACACAAGTTGGTATGCGTCGCAAGACTGGGACAGTGAGAGTGTCGCACAAGAGCCCACACGAGGTTAAGAGAGGGCCGCTCGCTCCACCTTCCACCTCCTCCTGTTCAGATCTGCGAAGAAACACAATCTGCAGCTGGGAGGGGGTGATATCTGCAGAAGAATAACCCGAGAGTCTGTGAGGCAGAGGTTACCGCTGCTCTCTTCTCCCCTACCGTCCCCCAAACGGTGGGGGAATGCTCAACTATCTAGAAAAGGAAAAGGACACGCTCTAAAAGGGAACTAAAGTCCCAGAAACCATCTACACTATTTAAATCGTAAAATATGGCCGATAATGTCTTAGACTCGGGTCCGCCTTCAGCAAAGAGGCCAAAGCTGTCTTCTCCAGCCCTGTCGCTGTCGGCCAGTGATGGAAATGGTAAATATACTGCATGTTTTATTTCTTACGTGATTCAACTCATGAGTGAAATGGTACACACGAGATTAATTACTGACTTTAGCTGCAGCTCTGGTTAGTTGATGCAAACCTCCATTTATACAACTTCTCAACTATTAGACAATGCATGAAACACATAAACACAAATCAAAACTGTTTGGCTATGGTACTCGAGCAATTATAAAACTTGTGGTTTGTGTGTTTGGTTGAAGCGGTGATGTTTTGATGTGTTAGCCGCGAGAGGCTAACTAGCTTCCAAGTAAAAGATCTCCAAACAATAGAAGAATCGAGTGACCCCAGTTTTCTTCAAGTTATTTGCACACGCTGTGTTTTTATTCACTATAAAAATACAATTATACAGGGATTATCCAATTAACTGAGTCAGTACTCCTTAAAACCACGTAAAAATCGTTTCTGAAGACATTTAGAGTAAAGTAACGGGAATTGAGCTAGCGCTAACTAGCTAAACACAGCGTAACCCACCGGTACAGCTGTGTAGGCAGTGGCAAAGACTTAAAAGTGTATGACTGGTGTTTCCATACTAAGCGCGATTGCCGTATATAGTTCAATATTAATGAATTCTTAGCTTTGAGATATAGCAGTAGACGAGACTTTCCTCTAATGTTTGTGGCAAAGACTTCGTTAAGGCACCATTGTGTTTCATTGGCCATTGTTCGACACTTGGTTAAAGTTGCGCAAACCACATTCAGCATAAGATACGCTGTCCTGGTTTGGATGTTATAAACCATGTGGGGATCAATGGACATTGAGGTGGAAAAAATATCTTGTCATTCTAAACATATCTAACTTTTAATAACGTCATCTACTTAGCCCATTCTTCCTATTGTCTGGTGGCAACTTCTGATATGTTGTGTAATTACGCAAAACCATTACCAATGAGAATGTTGTTGTTTTCCATTTATTATTTGGTATTACGTTTTAAAAGCTTTACTTAGTGCAGTAGATTTTAGATAGTCAATGTAGAAACAATTTAGATTTTATATTCTGTATAATTATCAATCAGTAGTCTATCCTGCCCTTACTGCTTCACCTGAGGACCTGTGTAAACTGGAGGATAGCATGTACTGAGCCTTTACACTCTGATCTTGCCACTGTTCCCCACCAAATCATAACATGACATAATTCAAACCACAAACCAATGCCCAGGAAAGAAGCTCAGACTGGAGGCTTCCTTTTTGTATAACTTTGATGACAAGTTACTTATAATTTTCTAGATATTTAAAAACACTTTTTGTCCTTCCTGTTTAGATTTTGGCTCACTCTTTGACCTGGAGCATGACCTCCCAGATGAGTTGATCAACTCCTCAGATCTGGGAATTTCAAATGGGGGCAATTCCATCCAGCTTCATAACAGTCTTGGGGGACATGGTGCAGGACTCGGCCTTGTTGGAAGCCAGGAGACTGTTTCCAAACACAAACAACTCTCTGAACTGCTACGGACTGGGGCATCATCATCGCAGAGTGGTCCTGCATCTAACAGTATAGGACCAGGTGCCCCCATGGGTATGATGGGAGGAGTAGGTGTCTCCCCAGTTGGACATCAAGCCCAGCAACAGTCAGGACTAATGCAGCAGGTTAATGTGGCTGGTGGTATGGCAGTTCATAATAGAGGTGCTATGATGGGAACACAAAAGGTCAACACTGGACAACAGCAAGGACTGATGGGGGGACATATGATGAATGGCTCACAGAGGATGAACTATATGGGTACCGCTGGCTTGGGTGGTAGTAATAGTAACCTGCTAGCGGAAACCCTTCAACCACAGCACGGAGGACAGCAAATGGGCATGTCTCAACTAGGAATGAGACCACAGCAACCTGATGCACTGAAAAAGGTGAGTAATTCTCACAATATAATTTGACAATTCTAACCTTAGGGATGTTTTGTTCATGTTAACTAACATATACGATCAAGACAAGGGAATCAGGATCCCTGGTTTGAAATAAGTGGAGGCGGAAAATCAAATTTGATCCATGTGATGTTAAATGTGTCTTTACACTACATTTTGTGTTTTGATTCTGAAGAAAATATTGATTTATATGACACTGCACCACTACAGCATGATTTACCATTCGGTTATTTCCGCGACTGAAGCATTTTTCATCCATGTTTTTTTCTTTGCAAAAACTGCCATTATATCATTGCTGTGCATTTTGCTAATTGGGACCACTACAATTTAGATTCAATTAAATATTGAAATTCCAAGTAAAGTCTCTGACTAGATCTTAATAAAATGTTGTCCATTGTTGTGTATGGCCTAGCTATTTAGGGAATATTTATTACATATCTATGCTCTTTTTCCAAAACCTTCCTCCTTTTAAACAAGTGTTTAAACGGTTACAATTACAACGTATGACTATATGAACAAGGTTTTTTACGTCATTGCCTAGTTATATAAAGGTCTATATGTATTATGTAATCCGCTCATTTCATAGATGAATATGATGGCCAACGCGGGACCCTATGGTGGACCATACACCCAGTCAGCGAGCCAAGGCCTGGCTGGAGCAGGACTGTGTTCACAGCTTCAGGCCAAGGCAGGGATGCCCAACAATATGCCTGCACCGGGAGCTGGCATACCTGGGATGGTATGGTTTATTTACATTCATTTTATCCTGCTGATGTTGGATTGCAAAGAGTAGCTGCGGTTTTCTGAAGTGTGAATTGTTTGTGTGATATGATTGCTCTTGGGGGTTTCCTTTCTTGCTTGGAGAGGATATTGTATAATTTGTCAGTTTAAGTTGTGTTTGTGTACTCCCAGTGAAATTAATTCATATAATTGGATCAAGTTATGTCTCCAAATATGTTCAGGACCACATATTTTTTACATATGTTTGTTATTGTACCTGATTGTTTTTGTTTGAATGATACTTTGATTACATTAGTTTGATGTCATGTTGTAGGGCTCCCATCAGCAGTCTGCTGCAGTTGGAGGTGTCTCAGCTGGTGCACTGCCTGTTGGCCTCGGCACAGGAGGAACCGGCTCTGGTGCTGCCCCCACGGCAGACCCTGAAAAACGAAAGCTAATACAACAGCAACTGGTCCTTTTACTTCATGCACACAAGTGCCAAAGAAGAGAACAAGCCAATGGGGAAGTTCGGCATTGCAACTTGCCTCACTGTCGCACCATGAAGAACGTGTTGAACCACATGACCCATTGCCAGGCGGGCAAGTCTTGCCAGGGTGAGTTAGGGAACATGTAACTACAAGGGATGCACCAAAAGATTTCCCATTTGATTGACTAACTTAATTAATGGAAATGGGTGTTTTATGATTTGGCAGATAGGGGTTTTAAAGATAAAAAGGGGTTTTAAAGATAAAGATGTTTTATCTCTTTTATTATTTCTTTTAATAATGATGAGCAGTATTAAAAAGGATCAGTTATGCATATTACTTTTTAGCTCTTAACCGGCTTGTCACCTTTCAAGTGCTACATTGAAATAATTCAATTCTTTCCACACTCTGACTGAAGCGAGCTGCTAATTCCCCAACACCAGATTCTTGTTTTGAAATGATTGGGGACCTGGAGAACCGCAGGAAGCTCCCAGACCCCTTTGCAATGGGAACCACTGTGGCACCATTCTTTATATAGGGCTTTTCCAGACTTAATCTTAATAATTTTGAGCCGATCTATCTTAGCATACGTTGGGAGACACTGGTAACACTATGTTTATTCCAATCTATTTATTGCTACTTACCAATAATTCTAATTCAGTCATTTAGAAATCAATCCAAACATGCCAAATGCTAAGAAAGATCTAGGACTTTGACTGAGTCCAGATTATGTCATAGATCAGTACTTAAAATGTCTTTAATTTGTATATTTGTTTGAAATACGATTGTTTGAAAACATGTTTTTCAAGAAGTGGCTTCAAGTTTGTCAACCAAACTGGGCAAAATGGTACTTCAAATGTAATGACAATTTTGAGTAACCCCACTGACCATGTTCCTCCTTTTGCCAGTGGCCCACTGTGCCTCATCCAGACAGATCATTTCTCACTGGAAGAATTGCACTCGACATGACTGTCCTGTGTGCCTGCCATTGAAAAATGCTGGAGATAAGCGGAGTCAGCAGGGTGAGTATCGCATATGCAATCAAAGTAAAGTTATATTTATTTATCTGAGAATTAGCAGTTTGCGATTTGGATTTTCATGACGGGGGTTCTCAAAGGGATCGGTGAAATGATACAGTTTGGCAAATTCCCATATTTATAATGTTCTGTCTTTACAGCTGCCCTCAGTAGTGCTGGGATGAGCTTGGTAAACTCCTTAGGCACAGGCATCCAAAGTGGACAGGCCAACTCTTCAAATGTTAGTCCTGCAAGCCAAATAGACCCCAGTTCTATAGAGCGAGCCTACGCTGCTCTTGGTCTTCCGTACCAGGGCAATCAGATGCCACAACAAATGACACAAACCAATGTGCCAAACCAGGGGCCGCTGAGCCAGCCTGGAATAAGACCTCTGAATTCTATGGGTGAGTAAGTTATAATGATGTGGACACATTGCCCACGGATATCAACCATAACTTTATGCTTTAGGAGGAAACTCTGTTGGGGTGAACGGTGGTGGAGTCCAACAATCCAGTCAGGGCAGTGTCCTTCCAAACATGTTACAAAATGGCATGATTTCACCAAGGTAGGAATAAAGGCTTTCTTTTACTATGGTAAAATATTTTCAAATGTATTGTAATTGTATTCTTGTTTTTGTTGTAGTTTAATGAGCAATGGAGTTGGAAACCTAGGTTCAATGCCAACGGCAGCTAATCCATTGCCAAACAGTATAAGAAAGCCCTGGCATGAAGACATCACACAAGACCTTCGCAATCATCTTGTTCATAAGCTGTATGCATTTTCTATTAATATTCATAATAATATTTAAAGTGAACATTTTGGGTGGTTAATGTTTATTCCCTTTTTTGGGATCAGCGTGCAAGCCATATTCCCTACCCCTGACCCTGCAGCATTGAAGGACCGTAGGATGGAAAACTTAGTAGCTTATGCTCGTAAAGTAGAAGGAGATATGTACGAGTCTGCGAATACAAGGGTAGGTAACTGCTGAAACATACTGCATTTATTTGGTAAATTCCTTGGTTTTAATCCTATTTTCTGTCTTAGGCTGAGTACTATCACTTTCTGGCAGAGAAGATTTACAAGATTCAAAAAGAACTCGAGGAAAAGAGAAGAACAAGACTTCAGAAACAAAGCATGATGCCCGGTCAGCAAGGGATGCCTCAAGGGCCGCCCACCCTGGGCCAGCCCCCGATGCCACTGGGGCCGTCTCCAAGTAAAGAAACTTTGTGCTCAAAATTGTGTTTCATAAAAGAATATTTGTCATACTTTTTTTTTGTTTGACCTATTTTCACTTAGATGGCCCTCATGCTGATCCATCTATGGTCAGAGCACCTGGACCCAATCAAATTAGTAATAGAATGCAAAACCCAGCAGGTACTATCAAACGTTTAATGGTTGGAGAATTGACTTTTGTTTACAGAAGCTAATGTTTAATTACCTTTTGTACTCTCTCTAGCAATGAACCAATTTGGGCAAATGGGGATGCAAACAATGGGCCCAAGGTCTACTGCTCATAATCCAGCAATTAATCAGGTGCAAATCACATTTCCTTATGAACTTTTCCATCATTTTGTTGGTGTGAGTGACTGTGGGACAATGGCTGGAAATGAGCCTTTTCATCATTAACATGCACTGTCCCAACCAAATGAACAATAATTATGGAATCATTTTAAATGTACTGCATTTAATTGCCTTTTTACAGATGGGAATGGCGCAAATGAGGATGCGTCAGCCCAATGCCACGCAGTTACAAAACCAGTACCTCTCTTCGCCTCAGTTCCCTGGGTCAAGTCCAGGCCTTTGTTCTGGTGATGCTGGATTGAACCAGTCTGGGGTTCAAATGCCAATGGTAACAATAATTATCTGTTGTAAAGAGAATATGGTTTTGGAATACATTGTTTTGGTAATAATTCCTATTTAATTCATGTCCCATCTCAGCAAAACCAAATGTCAACCACGCCTATACCAACCGCCAGCAGTCCTGTAGCGCAACCTGCTCCCTCTGGCCTGATGTCGTCTGCTGGTGTCAACAGTACTGTGCCTATCTCCAACCTTCCTCCATTGTCAAACCCTCACTGTGCAGCTATGCCCTCAAACTCGCCCTCGCCTGTACAAAGTCTTACTCCTCAGCCTCATGAAAGTCCTCCAATGTTGCCTGGCCCTCAAACACCCACACATCTCTCCCCAACCACGCCTCAGATGCCTCAAACGCCGCAGCTGCAACAAGTGTCACAGCCTTTGTCAGAACAGGGTGGCGATGCTGACCAAACTCTGCCAGAGTCACTCGGAGATATGACGCCTCCAACACCAAGCCTTCAGGAAAGTCAGGCCACTGCACCACTTACAGAGAACGCTCCCTTGTCTTTACAGCCCCCAAAGACTCCCGTAAGTGCACCTTTCGCAAACTTTAAACATTAAATGTGTATCCAAACATTGTTAATTAACAATAGTTTTTTTTTTTCATTGAAGCTTTCACCCGCTGCAGCACATGCCACAGTGGATGAAGAATCCTCACCAGCTTTAGACATCAAAACCGAATCCAACTCCACCCCTTCTACCACAGACGATCAAGCACCCAACCAGGAAGATGTTAAAGAGGAAGTTGTCACAAAGGAAGATGTAGACAATAAAGGCGCTCAAACAGAAGAGGACAGAATGGACATAGGCAAAGGACAGCCTGATTTTAAGTTGGAAGAGAAGCCAGATGTGAGAAGAATATTATTATTATTATTATTTTCATAATTTGCAACGCTGATGTTGTTTCTGTGTTTACACTAGAGCCATTTGTAGCCCATTAAGTCTCTTAATGAAATCCTGAATACTGCCATAGCCGGGATATTCGAGTGCATGTAAACGTGCTCACTGTAATGACTTTAGTAAACAGGTTAGATTGTATTTGTGTATATAATAGTGCCTCCTCCATTTCTAGATGAAGAAAGAGAAGCCATCTGGCAAAGAATGTAAAGACGAGTCGATGGAAGTTTCTTCATCAGAGCCTTCTACGGCAGGAGAAATTGAGGACAAAAAGCCGGAGATCAAGAAGGAACCAAAACAGGAAGAGGAGTGTTCGGGGTCTATTGCTAACAGTAGCTCCCCAGCTGGCACACAAAGCAAAAAGAAAGGTACCGCTAACATTTTGAGAGAAATGTGTAACTCTTTTTGCATAAAAAATACATTTTGAATTGAATTCTGCCCGATTTGGTTTGCCTGGTATTATAGACTATAGTCAAAAAAGTAGCGTGGGAAGATTTGTAACTTGGAGTAGACCCAATAGAATGTGCATGAAGATTTGGAAGCTGAGTGTAAGTATATGCATGTAAAAGGCTCTATAGCGCCCCCCCCCCCCCCAAAATTTGAATTCATAGCAAACATATCCTAGGGGACATACTTTGTAAAAAAAAAAATCACATGTTCATAATTTGTGACAATAGGCAGAACTATAAAGGTTATAGTTTACGAGAAAAACATAGACTCCTACAACTTGTCTGATGTGTGTAATTCTTTGCAGTTTTTAAGCCAGAAGAGTTGCGTCAAACTTTGATGCCCACTCTTGAGGCTCTGTACCGGCAGGACCCAGAGTCCCTTCCCTTCCGTCAGCCGGTGGACCCCCAGTTACTGGGAATACCCGTACGTATTCGAACTAGTAACAAAACTAACCTGGTAAGGGCTTGCACTGGCTGCCATTTTGCTTAAATTTATGTGAAGTCATAGCTTTAATTTTCATCTTTTAATAATATAATTTATTCATAGTTTTGAGTAAAACTTGTTTGTCTAGAGTTAGTTGCTTAGTTTATTTAATCATTCACTGCATGTAATGAATAACTTGCTGCGACCTTGGAAAATCAAAGCAATGACCTTGAATGTTTTAAAGTAGTGTGTTTTCTAGTCCACGAAGACAACCTTATGGCGGACGCTCCACATTTAAGTACACAACGACCCTATAAATCCTAAAATCGCTTTAATCTTTGAATTATTACCATATTTGTTGTTGTATCTGTTGAACTAAAGAATTTCAAAATGACTTCATATGATCACCAGTCTTGCTTTTATTTTTCACATCTTATCTTTTGTCCTTTCATCACCAGTAATGGTCGTAGAAGTCAAACTGAAAGTAGTAATGTTTGCTTGAGTGCTGTGTGTGGAGGTGGGACAATATACACATATTTCACTTTCAAAGATCTTTTAGCTTTGATAATAGATTATGCACTGTGTCAGAAAATGCATACAGAAAATGGCATTTATGCTAGAAAGCTACATGAAAAACAGTTGCATGTAGCAATTGAACTGAGACTGCATTGTCTCTTCAATTCTCAAGTCTCAAAAATATGCTTGTAAATTTTACCATCTCCCCACAGTCATTTCAGAGTGATTGTTATGCTCAATAGATTATGGTAACTTTTTGTTTGCTTGCTGCAATGTTTCCCTCTATTGCTGTAGGCGAGACTATGATGTTTACATTGGCCACTTCTGGAAAATAGACATTGGTCATTTCACCTATTAAATATATTATATATTAATCAAATTTGAATCAGAGAGAGTATCATTTGTTTCTGGGTTTGACACCATAGTCTCACTATAAAATGTGGGGAACGCTGCTATTGCCATTGCCCGTTCTTCTTGGTTTTGCACCCGCATTGTCAACTCTGAAAGGCCTCAGCTACTCAGAGCTTCATGTCCCAATTCCATTCTCTGCCTTTAAAAAGTATAATTCTGTGATTGACATTCTTGGGCATCATTATCAAGTTCTCTCAATATGCATTTGCTTTACATGTAGGGGGCAAAACATGGAGCTTAAGGGCAGAAGTTGTCATGTCTTTCTGTTTGCACGTGAACCTCTTTTCTGCAGTGCTCAACATCATTGTCCTCCCTGCACCCTCTTCTCTCCCTCCGGTCTTGTCTGGCTGCCTGCGGCTCCTTCATGATGATGACGACGATGCCACTGTCCTCCTGTTGACCGTTTGATTTGATGCAAAAGGACTACTTTGACATAGTGAAGAACCCTATGGACTTGTCAACTATCAAGCGAAAGCTGGATACTGGACAATACGAAGAGCCGTGGCAGTATGTTGACGATATCTGGTTGATGTTCAATAATGCTTGGCTTTACAACCGCAAGACGTCCCGTGTTTACAAGTACTGCTCCAAACTCGCCGAGGTGTTTGAGATGGAGATCGATCCTGTCATGCAGGGTCTTGGATACTGTTGTGGAAGGAAGGTAATGAGAACCTTTTATTTGTGGCTTCTGTAAATTATTATGTTCCTTTTTTAATTTGTAAGAGATTTTGATTGCAGGCACACATAAAGATGCTCTTTCCTTTTATTCAAAACAATGTTGTATGACTAAGTTTCTGTGTGGTTCGTTCTAACAAAAAGTATTTTTATGTTGCAGTATGAATTTTCCCCCCAAACCTTATGCTGCTATGGAAAGCAATTATGCACCATTCAACGTGACGCTACTTACTTTAGTTACCAGAACAGGTAAGGGCTTTCAACATAGGAAAACATATATTCCTCAATCAAGGTTCACCCATTGTAATTTCTGAATGTACAGCCATTGAACTTTCTGGGTTCAAGTCACTTTCTACAACACCACTTTAGATAAATCCTGTCACTGATGGAATTTGGCTTTATTGCTTTGTAGTCATTCATAAAGTGGATTCCTTTCTGCTCCAACTGTTTGTAAAATCAGTGTCAAAGCCTTTTTTGGTTTACTAACAAAACTTTGTCTGGCAAAGTTTGTGAACCAATGGTTTCCACTTTATAAATGATGCTCAAGGATGATGGGTCTTTGTTGCTTCAGTTGGTTATTCCTCATTTTACCCTTCCATATGCATAGAATTTTTTCAGCTTCCGGCTGCATAGCTTTCACTGATTGTGTGTGTGTAGCTTTAATGTTGTATCGTTTACCACTGAATGTCTATGCTAATATTGCCTTGCTTTGGCTTTCTGTTCCCTGTTGATTATTTACATCATATCCCTTCATTCCCACTTGGCTTCATTGTCTTTGTCAAATGGTAACAATTTATTTCAAGCTTTTTATGTATTCTCATTTTGACCCTTCCCCTCCCTTCTCTCCCTCCTTTTTTAACGCTTGTGATGTCTGCATTGGCCTGCTTTGATGTGACCAATCATCCGCTCCGAAAATGTATGCATAAAATCTCAAACGCCTGCCCAACCAAAAATCTGCCTCACGATTGGCTGCTGCTACCTCCTGTCGACGACATCCTTGCCCTCTGCCTCCACCTCTGCTGCCCTGATTGGCTCTCCACGCCCTGTTTGTGATTGGCTGTGGTGTAGCTCACCAAAATATGGGCTTCTTGCTGACAGGTACCACTTCTGTGAGAAGTGTTTCAGCGAAATCCAAGGCGAGAGCGTTTCCCTGGGGGACGATCCCTCTCATCCGCAGACGTAAGTTCCCTCACACTGACATGCGCACATCTCCAGCAAGTCCCCAAAAAGAATCCTTTGTTCTAACATTAAACTTTAACCTCTTGATATTTTAGCGGCTGATGCCAGTTTCTTTACCCTCTGTTGATCTTATCTTTTGTTTTACTATTAAGACCCATGCTTTCAAATGGAAACGGCACTAGCTTTTACTATGATAGATCACTTCAAAGGGTTTGTTGGGGATGTATTTCCCAACTTTACATATTAATTTAAAAAGCAAACTAACTAAAGCACTTTTGCCTCTTTTAGGTTTTTTATTAAATTCTATTGTCTTCAAACTGAGCACTATCCATTTCAGCCTTGAAATACAGACATTTTGTAACAGTGTTTTTCTCTGTCCAGTGAGAACGCCATATCAGCTAACTACATAAGCAAATAAACACATTTCTTTCCAATTCAGTTCAAACTTATAAAATGTTAACTCGTGCTGTTTTCTTGGATGCACAATGGCATGGATCTTTCCATTTGTCCCCATTTCAGACTGGCACATGTCTCTGTGCAAGTGATGTTATTGTGCTAAATCCTTTACAACCTTTCATTTCAAAACCCCTACAGAATTAATATAGTTCTTCTTTCATTCTATAGATCTATAAACAAAGAGCAGTTTCAACGCAAGAAGAATGACACACTCGACCCAGAGTTGTATGTAATTTTTGTTTGTTTTGTGTCTTTTTTGTTTTTGTAAATTTAAAATATGATTGTGTTGTCCTTATGCAGGTTTGTAGAATGTTTAGATTGTGGTCGGAAAATGCACCAGATTTGTGTCTTGCACAACGAAACCATTTGGCCAACAGGGTGAGTCCATCTGGTCCAAAGTCCAATAAAATGTAGCCAACATTTTAGTATTAATGTGTTTATATACAACTCTTTATCTCTTCTAGTTTTGTTTGCGATGACTGCCTTAAAAAAGCTAATAAGACACGGAAAGAAAATAAATATGCAGCTAAAAGTAGGTCTTTCAAATTTTGTGTTGTCTTTTCTTTCTTCTACAACTGAATTTCTCCTAACGCTTTCTTATTGTACAGGACTCCCTCAGACTAAATTGGGGAACTTTTTAGAGACTAAAGTGAACGACTACCTCAAAAGACAAGGCCACTTTGAATGCGGAGAAGTCACCATTCGTGTGGTGCACATTTCTGACAAATTTGTGGAGGTCAAACCTGGCATGAAGTCTCGGTACAAACCATTATTCTCTAAATTGTAATCCTTTTGTGTTGTGTTTTCTCACTTACATTGAGCGTTTCCTTATTTCCCTAGGTTTGTTGATAGTGGAGAAATGTCAGAGTCGTTTCCCTACCGAACAAAGGCTTTGTTCGCCTTTGAGGAAATTGATGGCGCAGAGGTGTGCTTCTTTGGCATGCACGTGCAGGAGTATGGGTCAGACTGTCCTCCTCCAAATCAAAGAAGGGTTTACATCTCCTATCTGGACAGCGTGCACTTCTTTAAACCTCGTCACCTCAGGACTGCTGTTTACTATGAGATCCTTATCGGCTACCTGGAGTATGTCAAGAGATTGGGGTAAGAGAGGCCCACCAACAATTGTACAGCACTAAATCTCCATTTGTTAATTTATCTCTTATGCATGTTAGGTATACAACGGGGCATATTTGGGCTTGTCCTCCCAGTGAAGGGGACGATTACATCTTTCACTGTCACCCAGCTGACCAGAAGATCCCCAAGCCAAAACGCCTCCAGGAGTGGTACAAGAAGATGCTGGACAAGGCTGTTGCAGAACGAATTGTTCATGATTACAAGGTGAGACATTATTAATGGCGTATATTACTTTAAAGCACGTAGTTATCAGATATGTAATCTGAGTTGGTGGCTTAATCTCCTTTTGTATCTGCAGGATATCTTCAAGCAGGCGACAGAAGATCGACTGACAAGTGCCAAGGAGTTGCCATACTTTGAAGGGGATTTCTGGCCTAATGTTCTCGAGGAAAGTATCAAAGAGCTGGAGCAAGAAGAGGAAGAGCGAAAAAGGGAAGAAAATTGTACCTCAAATGAGACCACTGATGTAAGATAAAATTAATCACGATTTAAGCATCTTCAAACCTTGAAAAGTTACATTTTGACCTAAATGATCTCTCACCTTTTTCAGTCTACAATTGGGGACAGTAAAAATGCCAAAAAGAAAAACAATAAAAAGACAAGTAAGAATAAAAGCAGTCTGAGTCGAACGAACAAGAAGAAGGCGGGATTACCGAATGTTTCCAATGACCTTTCACAGAAACTTTATGCCACTATGGAGAAACACAAAGAGGTAAAGCGCGATGTATAATGGCTTAGATTATTTATGTTCCGACTTATTAATTATGGACTTAATTGATAGGATAATCATCTTGTAAACCATGTGCAAGTTTCAATGGCAAAATCCAGTAGATTTGGTCTGACTAGCAAAGGCAGCTATTTTTAATCTGTATGTAAAGGCAGTCATGGATTTGATGATGAAAATTATTGGTTTAAAAAGTGGAGTTGAAACTCATGGATTGTTTCTCGTAGTAATCTGTTTATCTCTATCCTCTATTAAGCTGCATTGAAATGTTATGTTGTATGGGAAAATATAGATGTTTAATATTTTAGGTAGATTTTCTTATTTGTTAGTTTTGTTCACACATTGTACTTTTCTCGCAGGTATTTTTTGTCATTCGTCTAATTGCTGGACCTACTGCCAATTCATTGCCACCCATCACCGACCCGGACTCCCTCATGCCTTGTGACTTGATGGATGGCCGTGATGCTTTTCTCACTTTGGCCCGGGACAAGCACCTGGAGTATAGCTCTCTTCGAAGATCCAAGTGGAGTTCCATGTGCATGTCAGTGGAGCTGCACAACCAGAGTCAGGACCGCTTTGTATACACCTGCAACGAATGCAAACACCATGTGGAGACACGATTCCACTGCACTGTCTGCGAGGTAATATATTCCCATATTTCTATCTTTAGTCTTACCTAAACTTTCCTGAAGACACCATTTTTAACGCATCTCTTTTCTCTTTAGGATTATGACCTGTGCATCAACTGTTACCATACTAAAGGCCATGAGCACAAGATGGACAAACTGGGGCTTGGGCTGGATGATGACAGTAACAACCAGGCAGCTGCCACCACCCAAAATCCTGGAGACTCACGCCGCCTCAGCATCCAGCGCTGCATCCAGTCACTGGTCCATGCCTGCCAATGTCGAAATGCCAACTGTTCTCTGCCGTCGTGTCAGAAGATGAAGCGGGTTGTTCAGCACACAAAAGGATGCAAGCGAAAAACCAATGGGGGTTGTCCTATATGCAAGCAACTCATTGCTCTTTGCTGTTACCATGCCAAACATTGTCAAGAGAATAAATGTCCTGTCCCATTTTGCTTAAACATCAAACAAAAGCTTCGGCAACAACAGTTGCAGCACAGACTGCAGCAGGCACAGATGCTCAGGAGGCGGATGGCCAGTATGCAGCGAGTGGGTCAGCCCACTGGAGGACCGCCTGGTGCTCCTTTAGGTCTCCCATCACCAGGAAACAATAGCACAGCCCCCAGCACCCCGACGTCTGGAGGCACTCAGCCTCCCACTCCTCAGACACCCACACACCACATGCAACAGGGTCCACCACAGCCTATGGGCTCAGGATCTGGAATTCAACAGCCGGGGACGCTGGCCCCTCAGGGCGGAATGGGACCACAGCACCATGTGCAACATCAGTTCCCTCAGATGAGTGGTGGGCCTGGGCCTGGGAGCATCATGAACTCCCCTCAGCATCAGCAGATGCTTACTCAGCACCAAAATGGGACAATGAACTCTCCCCAGCATCAGCTCAATACTTCATATGCTGGCCGACCTCTTGGCTCTTCTCCCGTCCATCATTCCCAAGGGAAACCAGGCCATGGCTCTGCCACACCACCCCAACAGAAGCAGCCAGGAGGAGCCATGACGGCTGGTATTGGTCAGTCACAGAATCCCCCCGTCATGCAGCCACAGCCTCCCCCAGGACCACCACAAGCTGCAGTAGAGATTGCTATGAAAATCCAGCAAGTAGCAGATGCTCAAAGAAAAATGGCTTTGCAGAGACAAACAGCCCCAAGCATGATGTCCTCGCATGGACACCACCAACAAGCGCAGAGCCAAATGAACATTGGAAATGCCTCCGGAGCAGGAATGGTTGGACCTCAGGCCGTTTCTTCTCCAAACCCGGCAGCAGTGGCAGCCCGAGCACACATGGATCCACAGAGGGCTCAAGCAGGCATGGTTGTAGGGCAGATTCAGCAGCACTTTCAGCAAAGTAACATGCCCACTCAGCTACAGCAGCAAAGAATGACGACGCCACTTCAAAACCCTCCCCCACAGCAATGGGCAGGACAAGGTATGCCCTCCCAAAGGCCAATGATGAATCAGTTGGGTCATCCTGGTATGATCGCTGCCCAACAGCAGCCAATGCAGCAGCAGTCATTAGTGCAGCAACCTCCTATGAACATGGCCTCACCACAACAAGGCCCTGGAGTAGCTGTCCCCGGAGCGCCTGGAGGAAATATTCCACAGGGTGCCCTACAGGACTTGCTCCGAACACTACGTTCCCCGAGCTCTCCCCTCCAGCAGCAGCAGGTTCTGAACATTCTTCGATCCAACCCTCAGCTCATGGCTGCCTTTATCAAGCAAAGAGCATCGAAATACAAAGGAGGCCCAGGAGGTCTGCCAGGCGTCCCAAACCAACCAGGGGGTCCAGGGGTCAACGGCATGACTGCAGGTGGTCCACAGGTGAACGTAAACGCCACAGCAGGAGGGCAGCCGGGAATGCAGATTGGAGGGGGCCAGAATGTCAACATGGCTGCTATGGCACAGCTCCAGCAACAGCAGCAGCAGCACCAACAACAGCAGTTGCAGCAGCAACATCAGCAACAACAGCAGCAACATCAGCAGCAACAGCAGCAACATCAGCTGCAGCAGCAGCAGCAACAACAACAACATCAATTGCTGCAGCAACAGCAGCAGCAACAGCTGCAGCAGCAACAACATCAGCTGCAGCAACAGCAGCAGCAGCATCAGCTGCAGCAACAGCAGCAGCAACAGCAGCAGCAGCATCAGCAACAGCAGCAGCAGCAACAGCATCAGCAACAACAACAACAGATGCATCAACAGAGACCAATGCTTAGCAGTATACAGCAGCAGTCGATGGGAACAAAAGGAATACCTGGCCAGGGTCCACAGGTGGCCAATCTCAACCATCCTCAGTTCAGAGAGATGCTCTTGAGGCGACAGTTACTGCAGCAGCAGCAGCAGCAGCAGCAGCAGCAGCAGCAGCAGCAGCAGCAACAGCAACAGCAGCAGCAACAGCAACAACAGCAGCAGCAACAGATGGGGATGAACCACAGTCGATTTCAGCAGCCTCCACAAACGCCCGGCTACATGGGTCAAGCCCCAGCAGGCATGCAGCAGTCTTCTGGACCCTCTGCTCAGGCCCAAAGTTACCAAAACCCCTCTCAACAACAGGCAACAGCAGCTCTGCAGCAGAGGCTCCAGCACCAGCTGCAGATGCAACAGCAGAGCAGCATGAGTGATGGGGGGCCGATGGGTGTCCCTCAGCAGTCGCAGGGCCCACAGCCTCCGCAGGGTGGACCACCACCATCCCAGACTCTGCTCCAACAAGCTCTTCATCAGCGCCTTCTCCAACAGCAGCAGACCCTTGGCCCCGGTGGGTCTCCGGCTCCAAACACTGGTCCCATGAGTCCTCAACAGCCATCTCCACATCCTCATCTGCAGGGAGCAGCAATGTCTGCGTCTCTGGCTAACCAAGTCCGCTCCCCGCAGCCTTCTCCCAGGCCTCATTCACAGCCTCCACACTCCAGCCCGTCCCCACGCCTGCAGCCCCAACCTTCTCCTCATCATATCTCTCCTCAGGTACAGACAGGGTCCCCACACCCCTCCCACCTGAACCATCACCCTGGGATGGGCCCCCCTCAGCACCAGCCAGCAAACCAGCATCCACAGAACTCAATGGATCAGTTTGGGACGGACCAGAACGCTATGTTGTCCCAGCTTAATAGTATGGCTGGCCTTCATGGGGCAGGGGCCACTGCTCAGGACCCCTTGGGCCAGAACCTTAACCACAACCCTTTAGACATCATGTAGGAATACTGCACACACAAAAAGGCACTCACCAGGACAGTGTTATCGTTTTACTTAGCCTTTTTATACTATTAAATGTTATTTAAGATGTTTTCAATAAAGATGCATTGATCAAAACTTCCTATGGGAGATGAACAACAAATAAACCAGTCTTTAAGTAGATTAAAATAAATGAGATGTAAGTTATTAATATATTTTTGTTATATATTATGAACAAAGTGGACAGTGGTTTGGGTAGCTCCCGCCACCGGCACATTTACAGATTACAAAAGGAGTTATTTTGGGGGGTGGTAATGAATACTTGCCTTATTTTAAGTGAGTATTTTTAGGATATTAAATAAGAACAAGAAACTAAGTATTGATTTTTATGTATTTTTCCCCCTCACAGAGGTGAGATTATCAGTGTAACTTCAATTATGATGCATATCTTTTTAAACATGTTTTTGTTAGCTTTATTTATTATATTTTTTTATTTTATCACAAGTGTTTATGTATCTCGAGACTGCTACACTTTGTATAGAAATATATTTTTGTTACTGAGGTGGGTGGTGATGGATAATTACACTTCAGATATATTTAGATGGCTCTTTTGAGTTGAAAAATTACCTGTCAGTGTTTTACTGCAGCAGTCGGCCTGCTGTGAAATCTCTGATGTATCAGGATGTTTTCTGTTTAGCCTCCATGCAGAGCCCTCTCCCTCGAATGTGTGCACTCTTGTTTAAGGACACTAGACGTGGAGCAGTGGAGCCCCGGGGAGAGGCGATGCAAACCTGTGTGCCTGTACCGTTTTCACAACATGGGCTGGGACATGGATTAGAACATTTAGTGTTTTAACTATTATGCTGTTTGTACCGAACAGCAGATTTTGATCCAAATGAACTGTGTTGCACAGAACTGAGGCGAACGCTGAGGAAAGACCTCACTTTCTGCCTTGATACTTGCTGCTTCCATATGGACTCTGAACCCCCCCACAGCTCCTCTCCCCCATCCCAATCTCATTTGTGTCTGAGTTAATTTAACTTTTGATATTTTTGAACTGTAAAAAGTAAATTGTGGACTTCAGTACCGTTTTTATAATAAAATTTACAATACTATACGTTTGGACCAGTTGATCTCTGGAAACCATAAGTTTAACATTTGTGATGTGTTAAACAATTACAAAAACAATGCATATAATGACAACATTATTTATGTTAACGACAACGCTCCACACTGAGGACTCTCCTACAAAGGGAAACTGGGGAACAAACTGATGGAGCAATTTGGATGAAAACTATCCATTAAAATCTATGCACAGCCAGGTCAATGCTGTGATATGAGACCTCTACTAAGAGCAGCTGTCACAGCGGGGTTTGCTGTAAAGGATCGAACTATTGTATATTTAGGCAACATACTTGAACCACAAATTATTAGTCTTGCTTCTGTCTGCCTCAATGCATCTGTGGCAACAGTAGTAGTTAATCACTTCGTAAGTAGCGACTGAATAATATAAAACCTATTACTATTATACTATTATAGTTAGTTTCCTGAATTGTCAATCCAGATTTTCAGTTTAATACTTAAGTTTGTATGTTGGAGATTTGATGAGAGCAAATCGATGAAAACATAGATTGCCATCTAGTGGCCATTGTCATCGAAGGATGCCTGGTAATAGAACTAAACCCTCAGAGCTGTGGGATCACTTGAGCAGACTCATCCTTGGTATTGACCTGATTATGTTTCAGATGACCATAGGCTCACACAATATTTATGTCATATTTATTGAAAATGCTGTGAAAATAAAAAATACATTTACATTCATTGTAGAAAACACTTCATCACGAGAAGAGGTGACATATAACATGACATGCAATAAATAATACTTCTAGTAAAGTACATGTATACAGTAAGCATTTGTTTTACCATAACCTAGGACAGCATCAACAGTAGTGTTTTTAAAGATGCAAATGAGTGAATGAGGTGGACTGATATTACTAAAATAGAACAATGTAGGTTTTAGAGTTATTTCAGTCCAGCGGCAGGCACCTGCTCTAGCACACCTATCTTTAAAATGGTTGGCTTCTTCTAAAGCATTAATTCCTTCCTTTGTTTTATTTCTTTCTGTGACAGAAATAAACAAATTGAAGCTTATGATGAGGCGCAGACTGAAAAGGCATGTGCTGCTATATTTACAACTGAGAAAAACAATTAGATTACTGGCAGAGAAAAAGGAGCTTTGAGTTGGAACAGACTCCAAGATCAAGTTCTCAGACTGGGAAGTGTAGTTGCATGGAAGTATTGTTTTGTTGTTGACTGCTAAATAAATTCAGGAGCTGAAATTCAGATAGTAGTTGAGGTCAACATGAGTTGGACATTCACATTTATCTAGGCTATAAAAATGCCACATTGATAAAACCATCTGGCCTACTTAAAGTAAAATGTGTAAACATATGTCATATCATTTTAGTGATACTATAAATGAGAGGCAAGTCTTATTGTATTGAATGTTCTGTTCAGCAGCACTTAAAGAAGCCCTCAGCCGTTGGCGCTTCCTCGAATGTGACAGTCAGAGAGTTGACGGTAACTTCAGTCACTATCACCTCTCTGGGCTGTTGTTGGCTTCCAGTGATGGAATGCTCAGTTGTAACGTCCTGATTGTCACTCGTCTCCTTGTCCTCCGAGTGCGCAGAAGCTGCGTGGCCAGGTTTCCTCCTCACTATGACCGAGTCAGTGTCGCTCACCTCAGAGTAGTAGTTTTGGAATCTGGGACGCTCTGCCACCTGCTCCACTACCTCCTTCATGGTGGCAGAGTACAACATCGCCGCTCCCCCAATAACCTCAGCTGTACCTGTATGTGAAATGTCTTCAGATTGATTGCGCTCTAAGGTGGGGGGGTGGGTTGTTTCTGCCATGTTCATCCGTGTGTTGGTCTTCACTGTGTCCCAGGAGAGTGCTCCTGGTGTGCAGTCCACTGGATGTATTTCCATGTCGTGTCGTTGAAGATGTGGAGGAGAGCTGCACTCGGACAGGCCTGGGAAACAGTCCACACATATAGTTAGCGTTGGGCGAATGCATTTATGTAATGTTAGTTAGTTAGTTATTTAAAAGGACAACGGACAGGTACATGAAAAAGATGGCTGCCCCAGATTTAGCACAATGCTATTTTCCATCTGTAGTCCTTATACAATCAAAAATACAATTAAAATACATAACAGAGTTAATTAAAATACAAAACATAGACAATAAACATTTGTGCAATATATAGTAAAAGTGCAGATGAAAAGTGCAGATAAAAAGTGTGCATTTCATATTACTATTTGTAATGCAATTATTATACAAATGTAATCATGTATCATATTTGTATAATAATACCGTGTATAAAATATAATTTTAAATGTTAGGAACATAAATAGTGATTAAGTGGCATGGGTCAAAGTGTTTTTGTTTCTAGATGAAGAAAGGTCTAGTAGCATTAAATGTGCAGTTGCAACCATCATGTGTCCATGTATACATCCATATATCCGTCTGTAACGGGTATAGACTCCTGGAGTCTATATTGTGTGTGTGAGTCTACCTTGTGAGTGCGTGTGTGTCTACTATGTGTGTTAACTGTGTGTGGCTGTGTGTCTACTATGTGTATTCTGTTTGTGTAGGTCGTTGTCACTGATGTCAATTAGCTACATAAATACATCTGAATTTAGAACTTGTGCGCAAACATTAAGCAGGTGAGTGTCCGGCTTCGGGAACAGTGGTTTAAATATAGTTACCCCAAAGAGGAAAATATTAGTTACTTTAATATATTAATATTTATTAGTGTTGGAGTGACTTCCAACACTGTATATCATACAGCACTAATATCAGAAACTAACCGTAGACACTGTCTCCACATGGGTCAGCAGTGCTCTCAGATTCATGCTTATCATCCTCACTTGTGCCCTCCCAATCAGCTTCAAGCTCCTGCGGAGTCCTGCTCTGGATCCGTTTATGAGGCCGCTCAGCCCTGCAGCGGTTCACCCTGAGCCGCCTCCTCCGCAGCAGACGATGGTCCACATCAGTGCTGGAGGAGCGGGTCAGCGACAGCCGCAGACGAGGTACTTTCTTTGAGATCTTGTTGGCGCTGCGAAGGTCCATGGCAAAGATGTTCTGTGAAAGTTGATGATTATAGTTAATTTATATCAGGTCAAAAAACAGTAAGTACAGCAGTTGTACTGGGGAGGTTCTTCTTACCCGTAGCAAGAGCCTCCTTGGTCTTAGACCTTTTTTGCGATAAGCCAGAGCTCGGCTCCTCTCCTGACTGAGACAAAAAAAGCAAACAAAGTCAAACTATGTTGATGTAGAAATGAAAATCAATGTCTGTGCTCACCTCTCTTCATAGGCCATGACCAGACGAGGGTCCAGAATATTGTCTTCTGGCTCCCATGTACTGTACCTGCAACAAGAGGATGGCAATATATAACTGGGATAGCATTTGTTTGTTAGCATTAGTTTGTGTTTCACAGAAGTGGAGATGACTTAAAGCTTACTCACTTTTGGGGCCAGCCCTGCCATTTCAAAAGATACTCCACATTCCCCTGAGAATAAACAGAGGGGCGTGGTTAGTGCGCGCAAAGCAGGGCACACGATGTCCAGTGCCACAACAACAAGCGGAAATAAGTGAACTGGCGCTTTAACGTGGGGGAGGTCAAGTTTCAAACTGAGGTTTTGTGGAGGATGACGTCAATGACACAGGGGTTGGTCGGCTTTTCACGCGATGACGTGAGCGCACATGGTCTACGAGCGGCTTCTAGAACATGCTGGTAGGGCCACGCGACGTAAATAACGCTGCGTTGCGCAACTACCAGAAACACAACTGCAGCATCACATACCCCTCTCTGACTGCGGGAAAGTCATTGATCTGTTTATGTTTATTCAAACGCAAATACTGACTCATATACGCAGAAATTATTTGTTTCAAACAGGGAAACATGGGACAGTAATGACGTCACAATACTGCACTGTGCAACGGACGATGGTTATTCCTAAGTTATTTCTCGTGACAAGTCCACCACACGTCCTCCGCTTCAACCCGCGGCTCTGTCTCCGCTCTGTCATTACGCAGCACTTTGACACCGACTGTGACACACGAGCTGCGCAGCTGCTTTAGGGAAACACACCCCCTTTCATTTTTTACTATCTGCGTAGGCTCCTTCAAAACACATCCATTTTACTGTACGGTGACATGACACCACTCAAAAACGTAAACTTTGTTGCATCCGTGCCTTGTCACGCAAAGTACGAAACTATATATGAGTGCATGCGACTGAGGACGCACAAGTGACGCCTGTATAAGTTTAGAATAGTTTCCTCTTACCTTTCGGATTCTCTTCTTAGTGATGGACTCGACTGCGAACACTTGGTCTCCTATGGATGACAGCTCCATGGCTCGCGGATAGAAGATACTAGAACTGGGTGTTGTTGTTGTGCTGGAGGGTGAGGACTGCGCAGTGGAGTGGCCTCGTTTGTGGAAGTGCACTTGTTTCGTCCACGGCACCGCGCTCCAAACTCCTGCTGCCTTCTCTCTCACTTTGGAAATCTGCGACACAACAACACGAGAGAGCGCGCTGCTTCAAGTTGGGCGCGCCCCCTTTCCATTGCGTAGTGCCGAGCCCCCAATGAGCGCGCACAGGGAGAGCAGGGGCTGAAGCGAGGGGTACACATGGATCTATTATAATATACAAGGTTACGCAGCGTTCTACTAAATGTGGGCCACACGCTTATGGGTGTTTGTGTATCGGATTGTAGTCTGCAATAAACTGTTAAAATCATGAATGTTCCTGAGGAGTAACTGGATTCAAATTGTATTCATCTTTTTAGCTACTAAAACTTTAAGTTACTTAAAGCTGGTGATTTTATAAAATTCAAAAAGAGGAACTACAAATCTCGTATGTTCGTTGATTTTTTTTTTTACGTGCGTGGTTATGTGGATTCTAGAACAGCTTTGAATACATTTAACATACATTTAGGTTGAAAATGTATAACCACCCAAAGCGTCATATAGTGACCCTTAGAGGGTTTCTGAGATTTTTTTTTTTTTTTACCATTAATTTTAATTAGTAGAAAGCTTAAGTTTTTTGCAGTTGAATACACTTGTGGCCATACAGTTAGGCATCCTGAATGCACATAACTGTACTGGTTCTGTCAAAGCATTAAAACCGCAATGAAGAATGTAGGCGTCAAAAAGTGCACTTAACATTGAAATGAAATATGTTCTGTTAAAGATTCTGACAGTATCTGCTACAATCATAGTTAAAGCATTCTATTAAAAAACCCAATTTAACTCAAACAAAACAAAAATGTATTTCTGAAAACTAAACAAATCTTTGCTAAAATAAAGTGATTGATTATGCAAACAGTTTTGCAACAAGAAGGCATAGAACTAGGAGTGTGACAATATATCGATATGGTGATGTATCGTGATACTTTCTCACGCGATCAATTATCGATATGCTTTGAAGTATCAATTAAAAAAAGAAAATTATATATATATATATATATATATTAAGCTTTACTTGAAAAAAAAGAATTGTTACTTAATATATGGCTACAATACGTATTCTACCATTTCTGTAGAATGTTCATATTGATATTATTGGATATGAGACAGATTAAGTAAGATTTTTACTAAAATGTGCAGATGCATTATTACACATGACACTTTTTCCATCCATCCATCCATCCATTTTCTACCCTTTAATCCATTTCTGGGTCAAAGTCTCATAGCACCAGCCCCTCACTGACCCTCTGCAGGCGGTGAGTCCACAGGAGGACGGCTGCTCTCTGAGTGTGAGCATAGCCTTGATCTCTCAGTGGGGGCTTTGGGCAAAGTGGGGTTAAGTGTCTTAATAATAATAATGCATCGGTTTTATATAGCGCTTTTTTGGACACTCAAAGACGCTTCACATGTGTCATTATTCATTCACTCCATACACGGTGGTGATAAACTACTACTGTAGCCACAGCTGCCCTGGGGCACACTGACAGAAGCGAGGCAACCAGTATGTGCCATCGGCCCCTCCGACCACCACCAACCATTCACACACACACCAGACTCATTCTAGGCAATGGGGGTGAAGTGTCTTGCCTAAGGACACAACAGCAGTTTGGCACTTTACAGCCGCAGCCGCCCCACTGTGGCTGGTGTTCCCAGAGGTTAAGTGTCTTGCCAAGGACACAACGACAGTAGTTAGTGGGAGTCGATGGTGAAAGTCTTGAGCGGGGCTTGAACCAAAGCTCAAAGGCCAACTGAGCTACTGTCTTGCCCAAGGACACAACGACAGCAGTCATCAGTGGGAGTTGGTGGAGAATGTGTAGAGGTGGGTTATTTATCTTAAAATAAAGTGTATTTTTTCATTTAATTCATGCCATAAATATTTAAACAAATATTATTGTAGGTATATTTTTGATAATAATATAATCATTATCATGACCTTTGTATCGCACATTGTATCGTATCGTGAGGTACCCTGAGGTTCCCACCCCTAGATAGGACAATTATACAACCATCTCAAGCAAAGCAAGTGTGGTCAGAGGTTGGATGGGAGACCGCTGACATCCCAGTGGGACTGCTGTAGCCCTAGGCCAAGGGTCCAAACTTTTTCCCTCAAAGCTACTTTCTTGAGACAATCTTGTCTGAAACGACCTTTGGAGCTACCTGAATGAAGATGGCAAGCTACTGTTAGCTCCCGAGCTACAGGAGGCTGCCCTGGAGTCTACATAATCCTTGTGTCATTAGGCAAGACACTTCATCCACATAATTATATGGCCATACAGATTGACAGCCTTGCTTCTTGTTGCCTGCCACAGGCTGCTGTGACTGCAATATTAGCAAACCACCACAGTGTTGCTTCACAACAAGAAGGTCATGGCTTTGATCCCATGCAATCCCATGCTTTTATGTTTGGAGTTTGTATATTTATCCAGGTGTGTGGGTGGGTTTCCTCCGGGTACTCCGGTTTCCATGGAATGTGCTGAGTGATGATGGTAATGATTGGAGAGGCCAATGGCACAGACTGGAATCCTCACTTCAGTCACCGCCGAATGTGGAGGCATAAATATGTATAAATATTCATCATAAAAGGTGCTCTCCCCAACTGTCAGTCGGTCATCAGGTGTGATAGGTGCTTCTGACTAAAGATGTTATTGCTCTGCTTGAAACAACAGTTGGTTTTAAACTTCTCCACAGATGTAACTTTGCAGAGTGAAGTCACAAACTTGTTTGCTTTGTAAAAAATAAAGTTTAAAGAAAAAAAACCCGATATGAACACATGCCCCCAGGACAGTTGAGGAATGCCCCTTCAGCTCAGGTTTTTGGAAATGCCTACCCCCCGTCCGGTGCATGTTGCCTTTTAAATGTGCTTAGTTTGTGTTTTTTGTACTAAAAGACACATATATGAGGAGAATGCTCTAGATTATTCCCCTTAACCTCAAACCAAACACAACCACAAACCTGTCCAGTTTTGGCACAAATCTCCACTGAACATTTAACCCTGTCTTGCCCTTTGTTATAAGGTCTTTATGTTATACAATTTATGATTTAAAACTGATTATGATTCTTCAGTTTTAAAGTTTTGTTTCATTATTATCTTCCACTGTGAGAGAGCAAGTACAACATACATTCTAACACAGTGTGTGGAACTTTCTCCGGGACCATCACGGTCTGGAGCGATCCAAAGTGGGTCACAGGTAACTTCTGTCAAACAGCTCTGCTTCAGTCAATCTCCACACTTAACTGTCTTCTGCACACTTGCATTACTTATGGGCAGCAAGTATCATGGCAACAGTTTCTACAGCAACTAGTGAAAAAGCAGGTCGATGGTGCTGCTGAGACAGCAGGACAACAGTGCACTCAGTGACCGTGGACTTCTGTAACCTTTGACTTCATGACTCAAGTCTCAAATTGTGTCAAAATTAGTTTGATTTATTTTGTGAAAACAGTGATTGTGGCATGATGCGAACCGTGGCCCGACTTCATAAGAGTTCATATAAGCTTTCATGAAACTCAATTTGTTTTGCATTTTGATAGAATGGCAATATTCTGATATTTTAACATGTAATTTTACACCAAAGAAGCTGCAGTTTGTGAAGACAAGCTGAACAGCAGAGATCGAAAACATTCATCCTAACCTTTGGCACAACACTTTCACACAACTAAAAAGACTACAGTGTAGATTAACTATAGTACAGCTGAATCAATGTGTACAAATTTACATACGCTTCTCATCCTCATCTAAGTTACTGATTTGTTCCAATACATAATTACATCATCATCTTGTGATTTATTTCTGTTTTTAATCAATATCACATCAGAGAAGTTCAGATCTATTCATTGAAATTGCATCAGACCCTTTGCCTTTTTGTTTGCCACCAAGGGAAAATCCAAAGTAATCAGCAAAGACTCCAGGAGAAGGATGATGGACTTCCACAAGTCCGGCTCATCCCTGGAAGTGATTTCTAAATGTCTGAAGGTCTTTAAAAAGGTGCTTAAAGTATCCGACCCCACAGTGAAGTACTGCAGACACAACCTGACAGTCTGCTTAGCCAGGAACAAGCCTCTGCTCCAAAACATACACAAAAACACAGACTAGAGTTTGGCAAAGATCTAACTTTCTGGAGAGATCTGGTGTTGAAATGTTTGGCCACACTAGCCATCGTTATGTTTGGAGGAAAAAAGATAAGGCATGCACACGGAAGAAAATCCTCAAAATTGTGACACATGGGGGGCAGCATTATATTGTTTGGGTGTTATGTAGGGGGAGGGACAGTACAAACGGCACGGTAAAGCAAAGTTTTGTTGATATTTTTGAGGCTTGATAATGGGTACTGGCCCCAATGACCCCAAGCACACTTCTAAACTTCCTGTGTCCATCAGAGCCCTGACCTCAAGCAAATTAAACATTTGTGGGCAGCACTGAAGCAGTGTAGGGGTAAGAAGACCCACATCACCTGCAGGAGGAGCGGGGCACCATTTTAAAGTCAGCAGCTTGTGGAAGACTACCACCATCCAAGTTGAACAGTTTAAAGTCAATAATGCCAAATTATGTGTATATGTGTATAAACCTGTGTGTATGTATTTCATGTTTTGAATAAAAGTCTTAATAAATCCTAATTTACTCCCGATAAATACGTTTAATTAAATATCAAGAATTGTACATTTTTTTGATTTTTGCTAAGGTGTTTGTAAACTTATAACCTCAACTTGACACGAGTAATCTTTATATTTTCAAAATTAAACAAAGTGCACTATAGAGCAGCACACTATATGTATTTTTCAGTTTACTGCCATAACTTTACAGCCAAGGGACAAACATTTACAAAGAAACAAGCTGCAGGGTTTCCACGAGTACAAGTACGCGTCAGGTTTGTGGAAATAGGTCTATGTCCTCTGACAAGAAGGGCCATAAAACAGTGAATGTGAACGTTATACATTTTCTGCTTTTAGATTTAAAAGCAGAAAGCGGGTTAATTATTGGGCCTGGTTAGTATACTGCATTGATAGAGGACTGCTCTGAACAATTCTGCCAGTGTGCCCTTTGGCAAGACGCCTCACAGCCAATTGCATGTGTCTGTGTGAGTGATGAAGAGGACGATGCAGATGCAGCAGTATTGAAATAACTGCATTAAGGCCTGTGCACTCTTGTCATCCTCCAACACTGCCTTCTACTTTGACTTTCACACTGGTTTATCGCGGTCCCGTTGGAAATGGACTGAACCGTAACTGGACGAACTCGCAGCTCTTCCCGTAAAGCGGCCGGGGTTACACAAAGCATCCGTCCGTCACATGATCCTTATCTGCCTGGATACTGCTCTTTCTGCTGTGGTAAAGTTGGAGCTCCCGCCCACGTGCCGTGAGTCACGCATGAGTCACTGAACGTGCCGGTAACCGAGGATCCTTCTTCCGTGGAATTTCAATCGCAAGGAAAATAAGGAGGAAAAACACTGGCAGCCAAATACCGGGAAGACGCGTGTTTCCGATTACCTCTAAAAAAAAAAAAAAAACCCCCATCGACTTTTTTTTTTCTAGAACCTCAAGGGATTCCAGAAATATTTACCAGCGTCGTGATGAAAAACAGAGGGACGTAATGCATGGTGGTGTGTGTGATTACTGTAACCAAAGTGTTCTTTAATAATTCAATTCAATTTATTTTTCTATAGCCCTAAATCCCTATAGTAGTTATATATAGTTACCTTGGAGGACTTTACAAAACAGTTGAATTAGCCAACATAGATCAGAGAATCAGTTCAAACACAGGAAATGCTATAATGATAATAATTAAAAAATACTGCATTTTGTGAGCACTGTTATGTATTGTGTAACATTATTATGTGTAGATATGGAAGAAGGTCCATCTCCTGGTAGTCACCTGAAAGCTGTCTATTCTATTCCATTCCAGCGGTTTGTTTTGGAGTTGTAAATTTCCATGGAAATGTAGTGGCTCTTTAAGTTAACCCGTGAGGAACCAGTTTTTAAAAAGACTGACGTGAACAGACAAGATGCCCAAAAATACTAATAAGAGCAAAGAACTAATATCAATACATTAAAATAAGATATGTAAGAAGAATTAAAGGAAATTTAAGGTTTAAATTTAAGGTGCCTAAAGGGTTAATGTCAGGGGTATTCAACTCGATCTTCAAAAGGGCCTATGTGGCTGCAGATTTTTGTTCCAACCAAGCAGGAACCAGCAGACAACCAAATTCCACCCTTTTTCTCAAGTTTTCAGGCCAAGACTGAACTCTTTTGTGGAAATGTGTGGAGTTTGGTGTGCGCCTGCTTAGTTGGAATGAAAACCTGCAGCCATTCTACTCTTTGAGGACCGAGTTGAATATTCCTGATTTATAGCCTAAAGGAAAGTTTAAAATAAACTGCTGAATATCAGCAAAAGAAGAGCACAGCTTTAGTTTTATTGATCATTTCCGTGTGAGTGTGGCTCACTACACGACACTTCAGTCCCAAAAAAGTAAAGAAGATTAAGCTGCAGAAAAAAAACACCTTTTAATCTTGTAAAACAGATTCACTAATGTTTCTTTGCATTACATTAATGCAAAGGCTTGCTTCATTGCCATAATCAGATAATTACCTGATAACTACTAACTAGTTAACCAATGTAAACAATGAATTTCACATAAAACAATGTGCTGTTTATTGGAGTTATTGCGATCACCTAAATCACACACGGTGCCACACTAGTAAAAGCAAGAGCATTTGTCATACTAGCGATTAAAAAGGTGAGACATTGTCAAGGCACTTGCACATGAACGAAAAGGGAGGGTCACCGCTGGGGGCAGGTGACACGCGTGTGTCCGGGCAGGTGGCAGATGCCACAGTTACGCGGCTTCTTAGCAGCAGGAGCTTTGGGAGCCATGGCATCTCCTGCTTTCTTTCTAGCCTTTCCACCTCTGTTACTGCTGCTTCCACCACTGTTGGATCCACTGCTGAATCCACCGTTGTAGCCACTGCCCACAGCTCCTGTCGAAAGCAAAGCAAACAACGAGCATGATAGAGGCACAAGCGATACTTCGAGAAGGAGCTGAGGCTGAGCTCATCGCTCTCTAACTGGAACTCTCAGAGCCTTTGTGAGTCATAGCCCTTTTAGTATTGAACCTCCTCCATCTATATTATTACATTGTACAATAAGAGATGCTTCCCCTTTACAATGTAATAATATAGATGGAGCGAGAAGTTTAGTTATAATAAAAAAGTAATATGTTTTAGCTAACTCCCAGTTCAAATCTTCCTACACACTACAAATAGCAAAATAATAATAATGTGCTTTACCCTAACTAATCGCCTTCAAATTGATAGTACACTGCTAACTAAACCCACCAAATACTGCCACACTATGCCTGACCTCGCATGGCCATGCTCAAAGCGAGCTGTCCAACCCTTTTTGAACATTACATAATTATTCATTACTGTAATTATTGAGTGGTTGCATAATAGGGGATTATTCCATAAATTAATTGATTAGTTCTTAAATTCATAAAAGGCTGGTGAATATGAGAAACTTTATCACAAAGCTAAAATGATTCCACTCTGGAGATCTCCGAGGGGCGAGTTGAAACAAATGCTGCTGTTTGATTACATTTACATCTCATTTGTGCAGTAAGTACACTCTGTTTGAGCCATAGAACCTGTTAAGATCCATTTGAATTTGTGATGGCCAAAAAAGGCATTCATCCACTACTACAAAGGGATTAGTTGTGGTTAATGGATGAACTTGTTACCACCATCAAACTCAAAGATGCCCTGCCCTTCTGAGATCTGAGGGAATCGTACTCCCCATGTGCCAGGTTGCTGTTCCATGGACCACATTCAGATCACGGCGGACAAAGCTTTAAAATCGTTTCTCCTCAGATCTCCTGCACCTCCCGATTTAAAACTCGGACTCGTAAAGAGTATGGTGAACTGCAAACTGTCTGAATGCATTTCTCTGTCATGTATCTTTCGTACTTCGCGGAGGCCGCTCTGGGCGGGACTACACTTTTTTCATATATAGTACATTTTGTCTGTAACTTCAAATGCTTCCTAGTAACATGTTTGGGTTTAGTGTTATCTTTTGGAATTTTTTAGAGGGAGCTCGATGAGTCAAAAGGGAAGTTTTGAGATTAAACAGATTGGATTGTTTTTGACCTGGAGTGATCTGCGTTGATCGAAGTGTGGTGCATCTTTGATTTCTCTTTGTTAACCCCCACGACCCTAACCCTCACCTACGTCGATATCAGAGGCACAATTTCAATTTGGATGGGCCTAATTCACAACAGCAGTCGTCTCAGAGGGCTTTACCAAATTGTCAATTCGACAACAGGTGCGTAGGCGCAACCAGCTGGGATGATCCAGAGCAGAGACATGCTCAAAACTGTCTACTCTCCATACAGTTCCATATTATACACAGACGGTTTTACACACACATCATGATCAAATACACTTTTCCCAATGCAGCTGCATGTAACACTGAAGCTGTATTACTTTCCCTTCTTTTCTGTGTGGTGTCTCTGTTCTCGGCTGATTGGGCAGTAGCAGACTTACTCACTATGCAGCACATTTACTGCACAAAAGTTGAGATGATGCAGCAGAGATGTTGTCTCCCATTTCTCTGATTCTGTTATGTTTGATGGCACATTCAACTGAAGTGAGTGCATTACCTGATGGAGGCCCATTTTCGTCACCCCACTGGAAGAAGCCACACTGCTGCTCCCTCGGCTTCCCGCATGTGTAGAATGTTCTGCCCTTGTTGGGGCCGTCCTTCTGTACTGTCCGTGTGACTGCTGCCAGATTACAGTTACACATGACCTCTGCTAATCTGTCCCCAGAGTCCCCAGACCAGCTGCCATCCCCAGTGGTGTTCCTAAAACCCAGAGAGGGCCTGGCCTGGCTGCACTTGGGAGGAGGTGGCATTGGTGGTCCTGGTGGTCCCTGCTGTGCACATTCATCGGCCCATAAGAAGAAGTTACAACTGCCCGCATTGCATTTGTAGAACTGGCGACCTTGGTTAGGGCCATCTTTCCGAACAGTTAAAAGGATTGCATCTTGTCCACAGTTACAAACAATAGCATCATTGCCGCTGGTTCTACTGTTACCAGCAGCCCCAAGTGGATTAGGAGTCCAAGAGGACACTGGCACAGGAGGAGAAGGACCAGGGTTTGGGTTTCTAGAGAGTGGTGGGCGGGAGGGAGCTGTTCTGATAGGTGCTGTTCTTGGGGGGCCCGGATGGGGGTTTGCTCCTCCTCCTCCAGCGGTTCTGAGGTATTTCAGGTCCAGTACTTCTCTCAGCATTTCATCACATCCTCCAATGCAGCCCACAAACTCCAAAGGCATCATTGGTGGCAGGCTCCCCCTGCGGAACTTAAACTTCAGCCTGAAAAACAAAAAGAAATATCATGGAAGCTAAACTTGATCTTCTCTGTTACAGCAGCAGCGCAGCATCTGATGAACATGGCCTTTTGAAATTCTATGTTCTTAGTCCAAGTAAGTAAGTAAGTAAGTAAGCTTTATTTATATACCGCCTTTCACAGACCAGAGTCACAAAGCGGTTTACAATTGTTATTTTTGGGCACTTGTCCTCTCACTCCACACAGAGATGGGAGCGGGGTCGCCGAACAGGAGGAGCATGCCAGACCTATTGTACATATTTTTAGTGGTAGGGGAGTTAAGTGCGATTTTCTGAGCAGTAAACATTTTTTACAATTTACAAAAGTATGCAATACTTTTAAAAACAAGTTGAGACTAAAAAAAGAAATAGCATTATTGTTAATAGAAAATAAGTGGTTATGTTTTGTAAGTAGTACCTCTGCAGATAGGAGAAAGTAAGAAATGGTACAGTCGTTCCACAGAGGAATCATTTCAGGAATAAGATACGTAATGTTGTATTGTACTTTATCGTTTTTGTTTTTTTAACAATTTTGTTCCCAATTGTTTTTGTCGATTGAATGAGGTTGGATGTCTGGTTCATCCAACCCCTTTTCAGAAGTAAACAATAACATCAACAAAGGCAGGCTTTGTTTATTTCATGCACATCTTGTTTGAACGTGAAAAAGGAAAGTGTGAACTTGACTATAACCACATGAGACGATGAGGTTCATCTCTGGAGCAGGCTGGTTGCTGTGGTAACAAAGCCTGCCTTGTGTTTGGACTGCGATGAAGCATGAGCTCAAGAAGTTAGCGCCCACTTACGTCAACAAACATTTGTCACCAGCAGAAGCAATGTTTTAGCTCGAGTCAGAGACCTGCAATTACCCCCATTGGAACACACCAATTCTAATGGTCAGATCTATGCCATGCACCCTAAACCTAACCTTTGGAGAAGGGAACTTGTATTTCTGTAGTGGGAATTGTAAAAACTATTTTTGTCCTTGTGTCCCCCAGCTCTCCACTGGTGTTCTGCTGAATGACTCGGCTCAGACTCAATAGGGGGCACCAGAGAGTTCTCTGGGGTTGGACATCTGGCCAAAAGGGTGGAAGCCCCCCCACTTAAAAACCTTAAAATATAAACATAACTGTTTTGAAATCATTTTAATCCAAGTCAGGACTAATCCAAAACATGGTGGTAACGTTAAAATAATGAATATTTTCTGTAATAAATCACAGACCTGTAATTTCACTTGAAATACAGATATGGTTTTTTTCTCACGCCGCTCCATCTTGGAGCCTCAGAACCTCTGGTTTGGCCTATTCCCTGTGGTATCTACTGTATATACTGAGCCTATTCTTCAGAATCAAAATGTTGTTTCAAATCATCAAATGTAAATATTGTGAGCAGACTCCTGCTTAAATTGGACTAACGTCTTTTTCCAAATGTTATATTCAAGATTGAATACCAACATGTGAACAGGATGAGGCAGACATGTTGTGCAGACGCTGTCGTCTCTGAGAACCTCCAGGACCATATCAGGGAACCACACCGCTGTCTTACAGTCTGGGTACCCTGTGCAGGACAGGTACTTACTAGAAGCAAACACAGAAGTAGACATTTAGAACATTACATGTCATACTTATCTGTGTTTAGATGAAATGTTACTTTGTTCCTTCGCGTTTCTTCTTGAGAACCATGTCTCGGCCACAACTGGGGCATTTCCTAACAGGCAGGGGCATCTCCATGTCCAGCTGCTCTTCTTCTGTGATCGCTTGAGCTGCGCCCAAGTACGGAGACAGGGCTTCATCTAATCTGAAACAAGCAAAATGCATTCATATAGCCTGGAAATCTACCCATGTACATCACCATCAGTTCATAAGTTCAGCAATAGAAGGACTGTGTAATAACTAGTGTCCGTGTGGTGAAATGAGTGATGAGTGCTCTGAGCTACATTGTGAATCTTGGACAGTGCATGCTTTGTCATCTCTGTTCATTACTATGCACTTTCCCAATTAAATCATCAAGGCTCTTAATGAACTTACTTCTTGGCTTTTCTAACAGACTCAATGAACACTGTTTTGTATTTTTGAATATAATACTGCAGAACTGTTTGTTTGTCCTTCCTTCCTTCAGACACCAGTTTGAGGTCTGCTTCCAACTCGGCACGCAGGTTTGGCTTGGACATCTCATAGCCCATGGAGTTATAACCTATAAAAGTCAGAGAGTAATAAAGTTTTTATAGTGCTACCATGTTCTCATTACAGTGGTCCCTCGCTGTAATGTCCTTTCGCTGTTTTGTAGATTTTATGCAAGCTTTATTTACTTCGTCCTTCTCCTGCGCCGTGTGTATACTTCAACAACTTCATATAACCACTAATATAACATGACAGTTACCTTTATTTAAAGTCAGGAGAAAGGTTGTGTCTTGTGTGCACCGCGGTTATTAGTTCAGAGGACTTCCTATAGCCCTCGGTCCTGCTGCAGCCCCTCAGCGCAGTTTTCTGTGCAGCTGTATTATTCAGTGTATGCACGGCTTTTGACAGCTGCAGCAGCACTCGGACCTACAGCGAACAGGTATGATATCGCTGCAATCGCACTTTCCCTGCTGTGGGACGAATAAAGGATCTCTTAATCTTAAAGCTGCACTAACTGACTTTCTTTTGGCTGTTTTGCTGTGTAAGCAGAAACCAGGAACAAAGACACGGGAAGCTTCAGATGAGCCTCCGCCGCTTGGTTACCTCAGCTGTCTGTGCTAACAAGAGACCTGTGGCTTTTCTCAAGAAAGTGGGGGCCAGTGGTCCGCTGTGATTGGTCACAATCGGGACCAGAAACAAATTCTCTTCCTTGTTTCACCAAAACTAGATCTAAAATCAAATGACACGCCAGCACAAATCTGCGCTACTGTTTCTTCAAAAAGACGTATTTCCCAATGCATTGCATAGATATGGATTGAATTTTCGTAATGAATACAAAAATAAAGTCAGTTAGTGCAGCTTTAGGCAGTCATGACTTCAGGCGGTTAGAAGTGTATTAAGTATGTGTGAGGGTTTTTACAGCCTGGATTGCGCTTTTTCCAGATTTTTTAGAAAGTAACCCTCAGGATAAACCATAGACTGTATACATTAACAGACGTAGTCACGCCCATCTCCGCCTTTCTGACTAATGGGCCAAAAATTGGGCTTTCATGGAGTGATTCAAAATGGCCGCGGGGGCTGGAAAATGTGAAAAAACCGCATCTGCGCATGCGTCAGCCGGTACGAGCTCCATTCATTTAAACGAGTGACCTCAAAAATTCACAGAAAGTAAACTAGACTGGTCCAAAAAAATTCACTCCCCTCAGCATTGACACACATGTGGAACGGAGCTTTGGGCCAAGAGCCAACTTTTGGACCATCCTGTAAAGGTGTTTTCGAGAGGTAAGAAGATGCTATATGTTAGCATTGGCTAATTCTTATTCCGAGTCCACACCCATCGGCCCGGGGTGGTATTGCAAGCATGTCAGCGCACATCATTTTGGCCACTTTTGAGCCGGGACCCTCCCCCACTGGGATAAACGAGGGACCACTGTGTTGTTGTAACAATATCTTTTTAATTACAAAATAGTGGAAACAGTTTGAATTGCTCTACAGACCTTCAACCAGTCCCATTCCCAGTTCTCCAGGTAGGAACCTCTGATCTGCAGTCAGGCCCACGTACATCCTGCTCTTAATAGTTTCTATGTGATCTGCATGTGTCGCATCTGTGCCTATAAAACAACATAGTCTGAGAAACATGTCTGTATTATGGATATTGCGCATACTGTGCATACCGATGCCATGTTTCTCCATCAGGGATATCAGATCAGCTTCAGAGAGGAGCTGTGGAGGACTTGTCTGGCCATCTATCATCTGAATAGCAGTCGGCTGAAACTGCGAACCTTGTTCATAAACTGGAATAACCTTGAGCATTAAACATAAAAACAAAATGTTAAAAATAAATCAAAGAAACACCTGTAAAGTCAAGCAAATAAATGTCGACACTACAAGATCCTTTTTGATGCAGGAACCTGTTTCTTTCATCGGTTGAAAAGCTGTTTTAATATACCTATCATTTGTTTTTTGTTTTTTTATGCATTCACTTTATTTGGGCAGGATTAAATGCTTAGAGGGGGAATTGTTTTTATACAGAAGCCACTAAATTGCACACATTTGATCTAGGGGTGCCCAGGCTTTATCAAATATACTTTTCTAGCAGAGAGTGGGCCTGACGTGTGGATGAGCCGTTATGAAGATATATGAATGTGCAGCCCTCGACCTATGTGTCAACTTTGATACTGGTATAACTGATGTGAGTTGTTCAAACTGCCGTTTTAAAACATTACTCACGTGTGTCACATGTCATGAATTAATATGAAAAGTAAATGTGCTTACTCGCTATAAATTCTCATCAGAATTGTGTGGAAATTACCTTAGCGGTCCATTTGTCGTAAGGATAAACATCCAGATAATTTCTCGCAACAATCATGAGTCCTGAGGCAGAAAACTTCTCCTGTGCAATGTCAATGTCCACCACTGTCTCATGTCCCAATGCATCCTGGGACACGCACGCCAAGAAGTGACGCACAATAAACTCATACACACGGCCCTCATTCCCCTGAAAACATAAAGTAGTTTGGGATTTAGGGTATTTTAAATTGTGAAAATATGGACATACAATATAGGTGCAGACATACAGAAACATACATACACAGATGTTCACATGTGTGTGTGGGTGTACAATGGTGTGTATGTGTGTGTACAATGTGGGTGTGTGCGCCTATTTGATGGATCCACCTATCACCTTCATTGCCCCCATTTTCCCTTCCTTTTTGTGTACCAATTTTCATACATATGACCAGGGCTGGACTGAGACCAAAAAACAACCTGAGCATTTTTGCCTCCTTTACAGCCCGGCATTTTTTCCCCCAAGTTTTTAAACGGTTATTTATATGGTATGCGGACGGATGTATGCAGTTGTATGCAGTTTCAACAATTAAAATATAGTGCACTAGTCCAGTGGTTCCCAAAGTGGGGGTCCCGACCCCCCGGGGGGTCGCGGGAACCCCTGGGGGGGGTCGCAAGATGATTTCCAAAAAAAAAAAAAAACATTTTGCTAATTAATAGCCCTTAAATATTGATTTAGCATTTGATTTGATTCAAAAGGACTACTTGTTAAATTGTGTTAGGAGAATATAAAATATTTAAATTACGTTTGTAATTTTGTCCAGTCATTGACAGCGTCAATCAAAATCAAGTTACGCAGCTCACATCATGCAGCGACAAAGCGTGTCCAGCTGTTGTTTGCTAAAACTAAAGGTGTTTGGAGGCTTCAAACAAATAATACCTGCTTTAAAATGAAACGTAGTTAATATCCACAACAGAAAAACGCGGAGGGAGAGAAAAGTCACATGTGAGGTCAGGCTGATGGTGCGAAGAGAGGGAGAGAGGGCAGCGGAGGAAGAGAGGGAGAGAGGGCAGCGGAGGGAGAGAGGGCAGCGGTAGAAGAGGGTGGTAAAGAGGCCCGGCTTTTCGGAGTCAGTGGTAAAGAGGTCCGCACATTAAAAGCGGGTGGCTGCTTTATGCTGTTACTTACAGTAACTTTGGAAAAAGAAGCCGCGGGGATGAAGCGCATAAAGTAACAGCAGAAAGCGGCCGCCCGCTTTTTATGTGCGGACCTCTTTACCGCTGACTCCGAAAAGCCGGGCCACTTTACCGCGGTATGAGAACAGAGAGGGCGAGCCGCAAGAAATGCGCTCCACTTCTGCTAAGAAGGTGAAGAAGATGACATAGTCTGGGATCGCGTCTTTAATTCAGACAGAAGACATGTTTTATTGTCGATGGTAGAGACAGCACGAACAACAGATACAACAGAATGCAAGTGTATTATACAGAGCGGAGGCATGGAGACCTCCAATCAGCAGCTTCCACGGTGCCAGCAGAGATAGTCAAAACATGAAGTGGAAAAGTACAGGCTTCTGCACATTGATAGAATGATGAGTTTAACCTTAACAAAAGTTGCTTAAAAGTGTTATGAAATCTCACATTCCCCCCCTTCTGGTCACACATTCACGTGTGACCATCAGGATCGATAAACAGCAACATAACATCATAACTCAATACTTAAACTCGGTACTTCACTCTGTACTTCAAAAAACTCAGAACTCGGAATACGTCAAAAACTCAGAAAACTCATAAAACATGTTCAGATCTTTCATAAAACTTGTCAACAATCTTCAGTAAAATACCAAACTTCATCAGTCGATGGTGGTTCCAGATATTGCTTTGAAAACAGTCTCTCCCACTTCTCCGTGTTGATTCCTTCAGGCTGCATTTGTGTCGAGCCATAGCAGTGAATTCTTCTGTGACGTGTCTTTCAATCACACGTTTCAGCTTTAGTGTCCAGATTCAGCAATTCAATTCAGTCCAAATTATGTCCATGCAAAAGAGGACGATGGTGTTGTCCATGTCTCAGCAGCTCACAGCCTGACTGGAATCAGGGGCTGTGCAGATTGTCCAAGTGTGCTGGTCCAGATGCATTCTCTTGAGGTTTCTCAGTTTTGGCTTAAAAAAAAAACACTTTTTGTGTAAAAAAAAGTAGTCTTCTGTTCTCTAGATGTTACAGACAATGCCCGCATCCTTCCACCACCTGAAGAAGATGACATAGTCTGGGATCGCGTCTTTAATTCAGACAGAAGACATGTTTTATTGTCGATGGTTTGTCAGGTAGGAAAACAATGCACAGTCTTATTAGATTCTTGCCAAATTCACTCATGTTCAAATCCCTGTGAATACAAACAATATGAAAAGTTTTAATGTATAACTACCAATGCATGCTACATTGCAAGAGGCGTATGGGGCAGTTCAGGAATCTCTCGTGGTTGTAATTGTGAATCTTGGGCTTATACAATTGCTAATACCGGAACTGATTGGGGCTACCATTCTCAAAGTGACCTAAAACATAGGCTATCTATCATTAAGGCTAAAGAAGCACCTGGAGATATATGTGACCCTGTAATCATTACTCTCAAAAACCCCAGTAAATCTGATAATGGTACATATGTATTTGGATCTTACATCTCCCCTAGAAACCAAAAAATGGGACTTCTAACTATCCAAGTCACGGACGAACCAAAACCGACCATAAAACCTGTAGACCTAGCTAAACTTAAAATGGAAAGTAAAGAAAGGCCAAAATACCTCTCAGAACTCTCACTTGAGGATGTAATTAAGATAGAGATTGGCACAGACATAAATATGAACTTATGGCTTAAATGGCTTCAGTATACTGCGCACTCATTGACGAATGAGTCCTGCTTTGCGTGTGCTGCAGCCAGACCTCAATTGACCGCTACACCTTTCCCAAATACCACAGACTCAAATAGATGTGTATTTTCAATGTTCTCGGTCTCAACCAAAAATGATCCAGATTGCACACATTTGACTAAAATGTATCCCATTATTTCCCAGAAGGACGTCCCATTCACACACACAGTTGAAACCAATGGTTATCATTGCATCACAAATAGAGATAGTAGTGCTTCTGCCATCCACTTAGGAATTTTCCCCCATGGTTACTGTGATACTATAACTAAAGCTGCTAGTATAGATAACTATCGTCAAGCCCTATTCCAACAGTGTCTTCCAAGGGCTGACCTGTGGTGGCTGTGCGGTGATCTAACTTTAAGAGCTATTCTGCCAAAATCATGGAAAGGACAGTGTGCTGTCGTTTCCCTCATCGTTCCATTCATTCTAGCTCCAATGTCACTCATAGACGAGTCAGAACCCATGCTTAAAACTAAATTGCTTGATTCTTATCCACGTAGCAAACGTAGTGTATTGCCCCTCAGAGAGACAGACAGGCCTTTAGGCTCATTTGACAAGGGAGTATGGTTAAATTGGGCCGGGGTTCCTGTAGGTGTGCCGGATGAATTCAAGGCTCAAAACGAAATAACTAGGGGACTAGCCTCAATCTTGTTTAGCTGGCCCACCTCTAACATGAATGTAGCCTGGATCAATTACATATATTACAACCAACAGAGATTCATCAACTATACAATTGGCGCACTTGAGAGCATTTCAGAGCAATTGGCACCAACCTCATTGATGGCCTGGCAAAATAGATTAGCCCTAGACATGATTCTAGCAAGTAGCTCGGGAGTGTGCCATTTTTTCCAAGACAAATGCTGTACGTTTATTCCCAATAATACTGCGCCAGACGGTAGCATCTCCAGAGCCATAAATAACCTTAGACTCTTGTCCGAGGAAGTCACAAAGAACTCAGGAACACAAGATAGCACTTGGATAGCCTGGTTCAATAGTCTATTCGGATCCTTGACCCCCATAATAATGTCAATTTTAAGCACTTGCCTAATTGTGTTCACAGTTTTAATCCTGGGAGGATGTTGTGTAGTTCCATGCCTTAGACATCTGATTGAGCGTTTGATTGCAGCTGCAATTTCCAAACAGTATATTAACACAATGCCGCTGATGAGTGTAAACTACTGTCTAGAAGAAGAGGACGAGATGGAGTCCGATAGTGAGATTTATTAGCTATATGTTCCACTAAGATGCAAATTCAACCGAAATTGTACATAGCTTTGCAAAATAATCATATTAGTGTTTTAAAATAGTATAAGATAATAGCTGTTACAGGTGTACAGTGTAAAATCAAAACGTTTAGGTTAATGTAGCAATTAATATTAAGACTTCACATTAGGATGAAGTGAGTAATTAATTTTATATTTGATTCTTAATGCTCAGTCCCGCCTGCTCTATGACTCATATCAGCTTGGTTCTGGTGTCCAATAGAGATTTTTGTTATTGTTTGAATTATAAAATCAGCTAAATTCATGATTATATAGTGAAAGTGATTATTTTTTATTATCATTATTTTTTGTATGTATTTTTTTGCAAGTTAAGAATCAGTTATTCACTTTACTTGATTTCATGATTGTAAGTTTTTGTTGATTGATTGATTTATCACATGTGTTTATGTGATAAAATGGGAGGGTGTGGTAAACAGTGACCTATGTACTGCACAGGTGGACAAATGCAAGACAAAATAGTATTCATAACCTGGCCTTGTGGAGGTCTCAAGGACCACAGAGACTTTCGTTGTTTAGGCTATTTGGTGCCGAAGGTTTGGCCTTTTCTATGATGACGTAGATTTCCATATATAATGTATCTGTGTCTTTTGTTCTGTCTGAAATTAACGACCATTTTGTGAATAAACCAGCCAGGAGGCTTTGTCGTACAAAGATCCCAATTTGCCTGAGTCTGATTCTTATCAAAGGGAGCCCACCAAGCCCATCACTGTGTCACTACGTGAGTACAAATACACAAGCCTCCTTTTTTGGGCTGGACAGTGCAGCTCAGTAGTGGCGCGAGTCTCTGCGTTACTCCGTATCAAGGAAGTACATGCTCATTGACGGGAAGGACTGTTGAGGTGGGGGGTCGCGGGGGAGCAGCGCATTTATGATGGGGGTCGCGGGCTAAAAACTTTGGGAACCCCTGCACTAGTCCACATAACAAGAGGGTAATACACGTGTCACTGCACTGAGGGAGATGATAACAACTATTGTTGCTTGTTCCCTGGTTGTGAATGGGACATTTCAGTCAATGGCTGTCATTAAATCTGTTTGATTTGTTAACAGCCCTTTACTTTTAGGCACAACCAACATGAACTGTTAATGCAAGGAAAAATGTAGGTACCCTACCTTTAATTTAGCAAGTTTAGTTGCGCTTCGGGAGGAGACACAGGGGAGACACGGACTGTTCCTTGCAGAGGTGTATTTATTGTATTTATTGCGTGCACAGGTTACGCAAACACATGTACACAACAAGCAGAGACTGGTTTTGTATATGGTCTTAGGAACATGGCCACGTCACGGCTGTGCGCTCGCCGTGTTGTTGTCAAAGAGGCTCACAGCCGCTGGACGCGGGAGCCGCGGTCATTAGAAAGCGACCACAACTGCCCCGGGTCAGAACGCTGCGGACTATGTACATTTTGCTTTAGAGTAAAACTGAGGCAGTAGCGGCGACGTGACACTAGTCAGTGAAAAAAAAAGTCAAGAAAATACAAAAAAAGGATCAGAAATGTATCCCCAAAAATTACATATGAAATAGAAAAAAGAAAGTATAAATAAAATCTGGCAGATATTACAAGCTACTCCTCACAATTCACATGGACTGAATTAAGTATGGACTTAATCCCGTTTAAGTTCATACAGCAAACAACAGCAAGTGCCCCGCAGTCACTTTTTATTGTATGAGGCAGGCAGACCAGCCCAAACATGGGCATTGGCCCTTCGGCATTGCCCAGTACGCCCGATGGCCAGTTCAGCCCTGCATGTGTCTAAAGTGGTGCATTGAAAAGGACACTAGTCACTAGTAGTTAGGGTTTTAACATTTACTGTTAAAGGTGCACTTTATTAATCCCCGTACGGCAATTCATCCTCTGCATTTGACCCATCCTAATGCCGCTATGGCTTACGTCAGGAGCAGTGGTCGCCGTAGTAACAGCGCCCGGGAACCCATCTCCAGATGTTGATGCTCGGCTTGGTCAGTATTACTGGAGCTGGAGGATTTAACCTAGAGTGCATGTTTTTAGTGGTAGGGGAAACCGGAGTACCCGGAGGAAACCTACGTAAGCACTAGGAGAACATGCAAACTAGTCAAGTAGTGTTTAATATTACCTGGAGATGGCTTGTGAACTTAGTGGGGTGGATAGGGGGGTGAGCCTGGTCTGTGTTCTTGCCCTGTCTGGGATTGGGACCCCCAGGTTGTTCAAGTACACGCTGGGCAAACGTCCCCCAGGCTTCACTTTGAGTCTGCTGTTCAACCAGAGGAGCCAAGGCTAAGGTCGCAGGAAATATGTTGGTCTCTGTTCTGGGGTAACTGATGAACCTGAAGCAGAATAACAAAGTGACATCTTTTTTAGTGTTCTATAGATCAATGTGCCCCAACCCTCTGAGCCACGGTACACCATTTTTTTGAAACAAATCTCCACCAGCTAAAACCGATGCAAAAAAATGAAACTCTGCAGCCTTTAATAAGAAAGCAACGCAATTCTCATCAAAGTCTATCATATACAAACTCAAACCGGTGCAAAACATTTTCACAGTATTTTACTTTATTTTGACCAATTTTGATAATGAATAATTTGCTGTATAGATGATGCTACCTTTTCTGTTTTAACCACTAGATGGTGCTGTGGCTTGGGTGGAGCTCATCGTTACACCTGCTTCTGGTTAATTATAACCTGTGTTCTAGTTTTAGTAACAGCTTAGGAGGAGGAGATGTTACTATTTTCCACCATGATATATTGTTTTTGCAGTGTTTTTCTTTAAAATAAAATAAAAAATTCACATTCCACATTGCAATTTCTTCAGTTTTCTTTCTTTTCATAAACTGTTACAGGGTTTTGGACCTTAGATTTCCAAAGGCACACCAAGCAAAATCTCAAGGCACACAAACATGCCACGGCACACTGGTTGAAAAACACTGCTATAGAGGACATTGTATTAATCTGCAAACAAAGGAGAGGAGAAATATCCAGACTCAGACTGAGACGTAGCACAGATTTCTGACATAAATTATGAGCAACATCCAGCATCAGTAATGACTCACTCTGCACTGCTGCGAATAACAGCAGGATTCAATTACAGTAACAATTCTAGAGTTTGACGGATTCATGAATTACCCCCACTCAAGAGGTAAAGTGATCACTGGCGTTTGTCAGTTTGAAATGTTCAGGAGACATGTGGAATGGAGCAGTGAGCAAAGTGATTCAATTTTGGGGGTGATCCGAAAACAAATGTTGCTTTTGAAGGAATGGAACTGCACCCATTGGCGGAGGTCTGCAGTCTACGGGTTCTTTTTTCATTATTGCTTATAACTTAAAACAGGTAAAATTTAGACAGTGTGTGTGGGAGTGAGAGTGTGTTGCTTAAAAGACTAATGGAAAAGAACAACGTTAAAATCCAACACTAAAAATAAACACATAATGTTAAAACTTACCCCTGGGTGTAAAGTTTTTCTGCAATTTTCATAGTTTCTTTTGCATTTATTTTTAACTTTCGTGATGCAAGTTTTTCAAGTTCCTACAGAAGAGAACGAGGGAAAAGGGGATTAAGGAGGATGAATACTGGTGGAGTCGACTGAACACATGTGGATAAGCTCCCAAAATGACTCTTACACGTCTGATGAGAATATCTGCACCAATTATTGACACAGTGATAAAATAGAGAAAAATAACTTATGTCCAGCTCACTCACTCCATTTGGCTGGTTTATAAATCCTTTTAAACCAACATTAGACTTTAAAATGTATATCTGCCTTCGAGTCACAGCAGAATATAAACAAAAGAATGTTTCTCTTAAATGTTATTATGTATTGACCAAATTTTCTTACCACAGTGTCCAAAGGCAGGGGTCTCCATTTGCTTTTGGGTTTGCTGGTTACTGAGGTGACTGTTGCCATGGGATCCTGAAAATGAATATAATTATTTTCTGTTATACAAGTACATTTTGGGCACAGTTTATTTATATCTGTGAGTTCAGTCAACTTGACAGAGTACAGTTCTGCGTTTGGCTCCATGTAACAGCTGCAGAGGTTATGAATGTGGACGCCATTACACCTGGGATTTGAGAAACACTTCCTCAGAATGTGAAAGTGTGCAGCTCTGCTCTGAAGTGGCATCACTGCGGAAAAACTACAACACTGAAACGTGTATGCATCCGCTTTGTACAAGATCCACATTTAAACTATAGTCCTGCTGATCCATGCAGGTGGAACAGCAGAGTGTGGGATATGCATGGTTTCAGTTTCCTGTTTATATGATAACAACAGCACGAAACCAATCAGAGGCACAGATAAAAGATTCATTTTAGAATATGAAACAAAAAACAGAGCAAAATACATAAATATGACTATGGAATGTCTATAAATGGAATTTTGTGTTAAAGAACATGAAACGTTTGCCAGTGTTGTAGAATTACTTTTAACAAATACTCGTCCTGCAGATGTGTGAAGCATTGAGGACATGTAAAGAAAAGGTTTTGAAACGTTTCCAGATCTACCTATACAGTATCATCCTCAAGGCTGAAACAACACATCAGTCCACAAAGAGAGGCGCCTCTGAGCCTCAAAATGTGTACATTTACCATTTAATTTATGAAATACAAGCTCATACTATTTATATTGCCTGTAATCCATTTTGTCTAATACGCTGACGAGACCTCAGGTATGGTATTTGTTGAAAATTAAAATGAAAGACAATTGACCCTTCAGAAATCACATCACTTTTAATGCTAACAGCGAAAACGATCTTTTTGGCGATCTTGGATCACAGTGAACTGATAAGACAGAATCCTGACCTCTAATTACTCAGATTATAAGCCTCATACACAGCATGGCGTATGTAAACTTCAGCACATATTCAACAGAGCCTAACCTAATCCTCATTAACGGTCTTCCACCCTGTTAGGGTTACTGTTATTTTCACACAGAAACAGGTAATGTAGAATCAAACTCCCACCTTCCACAATTCATTCAATAGTGAAGTGCAGTGGTTTACTTTGTAAACAGTGTGGGCTTTATTAACCTGCATGCACATTTCATATTCTAGGATTTATATAAATGATCATTTGATGAGTTAGATTTGTGCAGCAAAAAACTGGAAGTCTTTCTGTAAATGTGAGACAAGCTTCAACTCAGAGCTGAGGATAAATGCACTCCTCTTTTTGCACTCTTTTCTAAAAATGAATTATTATTTGTGTTTTACTTGTTTGTATGATGATTGTAAAGTTTCCTTTTATAAAGCACTTTGAGTTACTTTATGTGTGAATGTGTTATCTCAGGCGTCTCCAACCTAGAGCTTGTGAACAGCTCGCCACCCCCTTCCCATCTTTCACCAATAGAATTAGACATTTCAAATATTCAATATTTAAACTGTTATGTTTCCCCACACATACAGCTATTGTAAATATTGAACTTTGTGCAATACAAATGGATGATAGTTTGATTACAGTTAGATAACCATAAAGAAATCAAAGGCTTGCTGCCATGTGTCAATGTGTTTTATGGATTCCCACTGGTGCTCCATCTGCAAATGAACTTACAAGGATAAATAAAGTTATTTGAATGGAATTATACAGAATGGACTCTTTTGAATTGCTCATAGTTTATATCCGCTTATGGCAAATTTTTGTCCCAACAAAGTAGCTCTCTGTGTTGTCACTTGTCTGTAACAACACAAATGTTCACAGATAGTGAACTACACTTTGCTTGCACTAGAATACACAGTACTTTATACTTGCCCCTTATTTTGCCAAATGTAAAACTTTTACACTTCTTTTATTATTACTTTCAAGATAGAGATTTTATACTCTTATTGATGCTAGAGATTTTTATTATTTTTATTTGTATAGCTATTGTTCACTTAACTTGTGCCGTGTGCTCCTCTTTCCTACTGTTCTATAACTTGTGATGCAACACTGAAATTTCCCCACTGTGGGATGAATAAAGGATCTAATAATCTTAATATACAGTGGAAATATACAAAATCATGTGGTGGATTTGTGAACCCTCACCTCCATACAGATTTGGTATAAAACTAAGCACGCAGTATGGTTGAACAGACGGTTTCTTTTCCAGCTGAACTCCACGGTGTCCTCTTCAAACTCATGGATTACTGCAAAAAGGATAAAACATTAAACTGTATCATACAGTTTTTAACCTACGCGCTGGTGAGAGTTGGCTGTGGTTATTTCTACTTTTGTCTGTTTATCATTCAGTTTTGCAAAAATTATTAGAGCTTTGTCTGTGTGAAGTAGTAGTATTTACATTTATATATAATTATTGCTCCTAGAGTGTATTTACATGTCATACTTCAATTCAAGTTTAAGATTCATTTACAGCTACTTATGTCTGTATATTCTATGTTCTACTTGTGTGCTCCTCGTGTGCTCCTGCTACTGTCCTGTATGTGCACTTACACTTAACACAGAAGAGTTCCCATTGTGGAACCAATAAAGGTTCTCTTATCTTATGTGAACACATTACTGACAATACAGTGGGGCAAAAAAGCATTTAGTCAGCCACCAATTGTGCCAATTCTCACTTAAAAAGATGAGAGGCCTGTAATTTTCATCATAGGTTTACCTCAACTATGGGAGACAAAATGAGGAAAAAAAATCCAGAAATCACACTGTCATTTTTAAAGAATTTATTTGCAAATTAGGGTGGAAAATAAGTATTTGGTCAATAACAGAAGTTAATCAATGCTTTGTTAGTAATGACAGAGCTCAAACATGTTCTGTAAGTCTTCACAAGGTCATCACACACTGTTGCTGGTATTTTGGCCCATTCCTCCATGCAGATCCTCTAGAGCAGTGATGTTTTGGGGATGTCGCTGGGCAACACGGACTTTCAACTCCTTCCAAAAAATGTCTGTGGGGTTGAGGTCTGGAGACTGGCTAGGCCTCTCCAGGACTTTCAAATGCTTCTTATGGAGCCACTCCTTTGTTGCCCGGGCGGTGTGTTTGGGATCATTGTCATGCTTGAAAGACCCAGCCATGTTTCATCTTCAATGCCCTTGCTGATGGAAGGAGGTTTTCATTCAAAATCTAACAATACATGGCCCTGTTCATTCTTTCCTTTGCATGGATCCGTCGTCCTGGTCCCTTTGCAGAAAAATAGCCCCAAAGCATGATGTTTCCACCCCCATGCTTCACAGTAGGTATGGTGTTCTTTGGACGCAACTCAGCCTTCTTTCTCCTCCAAACACGGCAAGATGAGTTTTTACCAAAAACTTTTATTTTGGTTTCAACTGACCATATTCTCCCCATCCTCTTCTGGATCATCCCCAAAATAGCCCCAAAGCATGATGTTTCCACCCCCATGCTTCACAGTAGGTATGGTGTTCTTTGGACGCAACTCAGCCTTCTTTCTCCTCCAAACACGGCAAGATGAGTTTTTACCAAAAACTTTTATTTTGGTTTCAACTGACCATATTCTCCCCATCCTCTTCTGGATCATCCAAATGCTCTAAAGCAAACTTAAGACGGGCCTGGACATGTACTGGCTAAAGCAGGGGACACGCCTGGCACTGCAGGATTTGAGTCCCTGGCAGCGTAGTGTGTTACTTTGGTCCCAGCTCTCTGCAGGTCATTCACTAGGTCCCCCTGTGTGGTTCTGGGATTTTTGATCACCGTTCTTGTGATCACTTTGACCCCCCAGGGTGAGATCTTGCGTGGAGCCTCAGATTGAGCGATATTATCAGTGGTCTTGTATGTCTTCCATTTTCTAATAATTGCTCCACATAGGGATGTAAATCGGTGACCGTTTAACCGGTGGTTGACCGTCACAGCGTTAACCGGTCAAAGCTGTCGGTTAAAAAAAAGAAAAGGGAAGAGGGGAGGTCTCTTAATAACGCTATTTTGAGCCCTATTCGCGCGGTGTGACGAGCGGGTCCATCTCTAGCTGTGTACGCCAATGTATTAGTAAACTCTGGGCTGACTCTCATGCCGCACGCGCCACACATGCAAGCACACTTGCACGCGCGCACAGACACACACGCACACACACACACACACTTTCCCCCTCTCCATTGATACGTAAACATCCAGACGCATCATCTCTCCCCTCTGTTACCGTCAAAGTTGCACACTGGTGGGGGTCAGAACTACATTGGAGCTTATATTTACACATACATACACACACATACATACATGTATTGTACACACGCACATACCGGTCAGTCGCAAATACGCGGCTTCAGTCAAACCACATGGAACATGTTTGTGTTTATGGTCCTTGGCATTAGATCAGCTCCACACTCATCACTTGTATTTAAACTTTTGCGAAGGCCTGTGAGACGCGGCTCGTCACTCGCTGCTCTGACCATGTGGACGAGCCGTTGTTTGCTGTTGAAAAGTTTTGGTTTTAACCCGCAGCACAGCAGAATGGGAAGATTAAAAAAGCAGTTCTCTGTGCGCAAAAGTGCCGAAGCTGTTGCAGGTTTTGGCGCCGCTGTTTCGGCTCGGATCCAGTAAAACGCAGAGCTGCACTTATGAAAAGTACGCGGCTCGAAATGGCTGTTATTTCAAAGAACGTGGAATATTTTAAACTACGGTTAACCAGTTTCAATCGGTTAATGAGGCTCGGTGGTCGGCCATGAAAATTCATAGTTTTTTACATCCCTACTCCCACAGTTGATTTCTTCACACCAAGCTGCTTATCTATTGCAGATAGTCTTCCCAGCCTGGTGCAGGTCTACAATTTTGTTTCTGGTGTCCTTTGACAGCTCTTTGGTGGAGTTTGGAGTGTGACTGAGGTTGTGGACAGGTGTCTTTCATACCGATGACGAGTTCAAACAGGTGTCATTAATATAGTTAACAAGTGGAGGCCAGAGGCGCCTCTTAGAAAAGGAGTTACAGGTCTGTGAGAGCCATGTTTTTCTGGATTTTTTCCCCCTCATTCTGTCTCTCATACAGTGCCTTGCGAAAGTATTCGCCCCCCTTCAACCTTTCGCCACATTTCAGGCTTCAAACATAAAGATATAAAAAAAATATTTTTTGTCATTAATCAACAACAAGTGGGACACAATCGTGAAGTGGAACAAAACTTATTGGATAATTTAAACTTTTTTAACAAATAAAAAACTGAAAAGTGGGGCGTGCAATATTATTCGGCCCCTTTACTTTCAGTGCAGCAAACTCACTCCAGAAGTTCAGTGAGGATCTTTGAATGATCCAATGTTGTCCTAAATGACTGATGATGATAAATAGAATGCACCTGTGTGTAATCAAGTCTCCGTATAAATGCACCTGCTCTTTGATAGTCTCAGGGTTCTGTTTAAAGTGCAGAGAGAACCATGAAGACAAAGGAACACACCAGGCAGGTCCGAGATACTGTTGTGGAGAAGTTTAAAGCCGGATTTGGATACAAAAATTTCGCAAGCTTTAAACATCTCAAGGAGCACTGTGCAAGCAATTATATTGAAATGGAAGGAGTATCAGACCACTGCAAACCTACCAAGACCCGGCCGTCCCTCCAAACTTTCATCTCAAACAAGGAGAAGACTGATCAGAGATGCAGCCAAGTGGCCCATGATCACTCTGGATGAACTGCAGATAACTACAGCTGAGGTGAGGATGGTGTGTTCAGGGTGATGAGCTGTGTTGCTTTTACGCCAAACATATCGTTTTGCATTGTGGCCAAAAAGTTCGATTTTCTACCAGAGCACTTTCTTCCACATGTTTGGTGTGTCTCCCAGGTGGCTTGTGGCAAACTTTAAACGAGACTTTTTATGGATATCTTTGAGAAATGGCTTTCTTCTTGCCACTCTTCCATAAAGGCCAGATTTGTGCAGTGCACGACTGATGTCCTATGGACAGACTCTCCCACCTCAGCTGTAGTTATCTGCAGTTCATCCAGAGTGATCATGGGCCTCTTGGCTGCATCTCTGATCAGTCTTCTCCTTGTTTGAGATGAAAGTTTGGAGGGACGGCCGGGTCTTGGTAGATTTGCAGTGGTCTGATACTCCTTCCGATTCAATATAATTGCTTGCACAGTGCTCCTTGAGATGTTTAAAGCTTGGGAAATCTTTTTGTATCCAAATCCGGCTTTAAACTTCTCCACAACAGTATCTCGGACCTGCCTGGTGTATTCCTTTGTCTTCAGGGTTCTCTCTGTGCTTTAAACAGAACCCTGAGACTATCAAAGAGCAGGTGCATTTATACGGAGACTTGATTACACACAGGTGCATTCTATTTATCATCATCAGTCATTTAGGACAACATTGGATCATTCAAAGATCCTCACTGAACTTCTGGACTGAGTTTGCTGCACTGAAAGTAAGGGGGCCGAATAATATTGCACGCCCCACTTTTCAGTTTTTTATTTGTTAAAAAAGTTTAAATTATCCAATGAATTTTGTTCCACTTCACGATTGTGTCCCACTTGTTGTTGATTCATGACAAAAAATTTAAATTTGTTATCTTTATGTTTGAAGCCTGAAATGTGGCAAAATGTTGAAAGGTTCACGGGGGCCGAATACTTTCGCAAGGCACTGTAGTTGAGGTTTACCTATGATGAAAGTTACAGGCCTCCCTAATCTTTTTTAAGAGGGAGAACTTGCACAATTGGTGACTGACTAAATACGTTTTTCCTCTATTGTATATGTATGTAAATTTTACCTTTAATCTTGAAGAAAGTCTCTGGAATAAAAGCCTGTATAGCTTTAAACCGCTCAACGACAAAACCCAGAGTGGGAAACTGACAGCTTCCATATGAAATCAGCTGATTTGCCAAAGATGCTGGGAAAATCTTCTGTAGCCGCATTGTCTGGAACCGTGTGAAAGATGCCCCTGAACAATAGTGTCGTTTACTTTAGTACATTTAGGTCAAGATTATTTATAAAGCACATTTACAAATAGACAATACTGCCCTAAAACTGCTGAGCAGGATGAGCAAAGTCACAATAAATGTAGTTACCATTATTATTGTAAAAAAAGAAATGTAATAATAAATAAAAACCAAACTAAATCTGCAGCTCATTGTGTGTTTTCACACCATTAAGGTGTAGTGTTGTACCTATCCGCAGGTCCAGTTCCTGACGCACGTCCACAGCATCATTGACATTTACATCTGGCTCAGTTAGAGTCTCACAAGCTCTTCTAATGGAGTTGGGTGTAATTTCCGAGAATTTTGCCCGATATACTTGTATATTCGCCTTCACTAAAAAAAAAAAAAGCGTCACATTAAATAAGTTCTTGCATCTAAACTAGATCATTGTTTATATTTAGATCTATATTCAACAGCATATTACCCGCTTTGCAAACATCAATGATTTCAAAACCAATGTTTTCTCCTTCTCTGTCACAATCTGTCCAGATAATCAGGGCCTGGCATTGCCTTGCTTCTTTCTCCAATGTCCGCTAAATGTAAATAGTAACAAAAACAAAAGTTTGAAATTGCTTCAGAACCACACTTTTTTATTTTTGATATTGTTATTTTTATATTTTTTTGCTTGAAGGTTTAAACATAAAACAAAATGTGGATTTACATCTAATGTTGCAAAAATTATGCTCACCTTTATTTGAATCATGTTGTCTGGGCAGTATTTCTCCACCTCAGCATCAAACAGCAAAACTGGGTTACAACTGTGCCTATTTCCGAGGAAATTATTCACAGTTAAACGCAATTCTCAGCTTGACAGAAGTGAAATATTTATATTTTGGAGTATTTTAACTTACCATTTCTGAAATTGCGATCTAAATTCTAAACCCAATAAATGACCAGAAACCGAAGTCATTGTTACGGTAACATTCTAATGAGAAATAAATATTGTCAGGGACTAAACAAGAGACATCAATATTACGCCGGTTTATCTCTTACCTGTCCAAGGAGATTATACTCAAACTCGTAGATTTTGTTGAACTTTGACAAACCCTCCCTCTAGAAGAAAAAAAAAGATATATCCAAGTTAAGGTTTTTAAATAAAATCTTCTCAGAATTGTATATATAAACATAATTCGTTACCCGCCTAGATCTGCCACTGGACATGATTTCAGCGATGCCTTTCGCCGCATCATTCTTCTCTGCTACACACAGAACCCTTTTGATTTGAATTCGATTTCTGATCATTTCTGGAGCTTGTAGTGCTTCCACAGACGGTCCAAATTGTGTCACACGGCGACACCTTTGGAGTCCTGTCTGGTGTAGGGTCCGATGCAGTAGATGTCTCCCTAACAGATGCACAACTATCATATCAGTATACTTTTACTGAGTTGAATGCTGTTTCCCCAGCACAGCTTTAGCATGTTAGCTCAATGTGCTAGTTGTACTGTATGTGTACGTGTACAACTAGCACATATGCTTTAACAAATCATTAAAACCCAGACGTTGTCATATCCAATTTTTCATATAAATAATTAAAGATGAAGATAAAACAAATCAAATGTCTCGATTTGACATGTTTACATATTCCACTTCTTCCTGCTCCCGCGTCTGCACGTCAAACTGTGCCGTAAGACAACTCGTTGTCGTGCAATTGCAAAACCTTTACCGTAGCTGTGTCGTAAAATATATATATTTCTAATCGTTATTTAAAACATTTTGTATCATAGTAAAACACGTTACGTGGGTATATAATAAGTGGGTAAATTTTATATATGTATAAATGTTATCATCTATGTGCTTCATTTGACGCGAGGGGGCAGCCAGGTCACATGACAAACCAACCAGCGGAATAAACATGGCGTCTGTCTCGACTGCTTTCGACATGTAAAATTGTGTTCAGTACGTTACGTGTTCGTAGCAGCTTTTTAAACGACATTTCAGCTTGTGATATGCAGACCTATAACGGTAAAGACACAGGTCATGGACATTTGGAACAGGATGGAGGGACGTTTTTATTAGTCTGTACATATCTTCTACACAACACGAATGCAGCTGTCTGCCGCAGACAATTGATGCAAGATGTAAAGACAACATGTCTTGTGTGTCCGCTTAGCTTCCATTTCTTCAGTATATAATGACTTTCTATGATTCTTGTATACTAATGCCGTTTGTCACAAGCTTTCAAAATATGTCTCATCCGTTTGTTCTGCAATCTTTCAAAGAAACTCTTAATATTTGCTGCTTTCTAATGTAGTAAATGCCACGATGATCGGTTCTCCTGACGTGGTGGCTTTTACTAAAGAGGAAGATTATGGCCAGTCAAATCCTGAACCCTGGCCTCCTGTGCCAGAAGAGTTTTCTATACCCCTGTATCCACCGGTTGACTCAAACCCTTGGGCCAAAACGTCCTACGCCAAATTCACAAAAGACTTTATTCTCATCTCTGAGTTTTCTGAGCAGGTGGGACCTCAGCCTCTCCTTACTATCCCAGATGAACCCAAAGTATGTGGTACTTTTGACCTCAACTACTTCTCCTTGCGTATCATGTCTGTGGACTATCAAGCCTCATTCGTGGGACACCCACCTGGCAGTGCATACCCAAGGCTCAGTTTTGTGGAGGACTCGCGAGTGGTGCTTGGGGACTCTAAGGAAGGAGCATTTGCCTATGTGCATCACCTCACTCTTTATGACCTGGAAGCCCGAGGCTTTGTGAGACCTTTCTGCATGGCATATGTCTCGGCTGATGAAAGAAAAATCATGCTACAGTTTCAAGAGCTGTCCCTCCGTTTCTCACAGGCCTCTGAATGTTTGAAGGCAGGAAATCGGAGAGCCTTTGCCAAGGAACTACAGAGAAAACTTCAGGATTTAGAGTAAGACATTTATGGTTAATATTCATTGGGCAGTTAGAGCTGCCACCCAATTCTCAGAGCACTAGCCCATGTATAGGTTTATTTTTTATATATCCATGATAATGGCTGGTAGCATTGACCACTATTGTTAACATAGGACAAAATGTATTATATCTCAGTCTAAAGTTGTATTTGTTGTAGATTTAGTCTGTATGGAACTGTTGTTTATAGACTGTTGTGTTAAATGTTGGTTATTTTTGGACTGTCTACAGGTACACCCACTCAGTGCTGCAGCAGGAGGAAGGAATCCAGAGAGAAGCTGGTCTTCAGACCAGGTACTCGGCCCATGCTGTAGAAAAGGCCAATGAGCTGGCAAATGTTGAAAAAAGCATCTATGAACACAGAGACCTGCTGAAACAGATCACGTCGTACCATCAGCGTCCTCGTCGAGATCCACATGCTGCCACATGTCATAAATGCATGAGTGAGTGTTTGGCAGAGTGTGAAGATTTGCTGGACAAATTCTCTAAACTTGCTCAGCCATTTGGTTGCACAAGCAAAAGGGAGAGCAGTGAAGAGGGACAGACTGCTGCTGAAGGGGAAGATGAAATGGAAGAGGATGAGGAGGATTTAAAACGCAAGCCATCCTATACACCACAACTCATTAGAGCCAAATCTGCCAAATGTTTTGACAAACGTCTAAAAACCCTTCAAGAGCTTTGTGATGAGGTGTTTTATGAGGCCTCTATGGAACTCCTCAAAGAGACTGAGAGGGGCTTTCGTGGTGACATGTGTTACCTGTACTCATGCCGTCTGGACAGAGCACTACGCAAGAAACAGACACTAACTAACTTTCTATTTGAGGAAGAGGTCTGCGATAATAATGAGGATGACATGATCATACGCCCAGTTTGCCCTGTAAATCACTCTGTTGAACCTTGCACTGTTTTAAAACCACCTAATATAATACTGGCACCAGAGATTATAGATGGATCTGCTGAAATTATCTGCACTGTAGAGCGTGAGCTCGGTCTCAGCGAGAGCCAATTGGAGTCTTCGCCTTCAGACCAGACACAGGACAGCTCGGAGGAGACCAAAGCCAGCTACAGCATTGAGACAAATGGAACCAAACAACGCCACAATCTAGATTCAGACTTGACTCCTGACCATGAAAGAGAGAGCAGTAGTGAGGACATGGAGACCACTGTTGGCGATGATGAGGGGGACAATGGAGACCACACCCCTTTGTCTTTACTGGAGCCAAATGGAGGGTGTGAAGAAGACTGCGAGTCAGATATATCGCTGCCAATTGACACTTGTTGCATGTCTCAAGATGGGTTTATTTATGAGGACCTATCTGTAGGACCGGCAAAATCGCACCCTAATACTAGAGCACAGCCTCCTCAAACTTTAGTAGTGAATCAGGAGCCACAGGCACTGCATCTGCTGCAGGACCAATACACTGTAGGCTCTCCCTTGAAGAGTTCTGCTTTGGAGCTGCCAGTGGGCCAGCATGCAGACTCTGTGTCTCATGTGTCAGTGGAAGATGGCTCAGACTGCACCATGAGTGCTTCTACTGGGTCAGATCGAGCAGTCTCACCCATGGGATATGGAGGAATGGTTACCTCACGGCAAAAGAAGAAGGCTGGACAGGGGGCTCTACGGTTTGTACGACAGTATCCATTTGCCATGCAGGCACTGTGGTGTCTGCTAAGCGGGCGAACACTGGTGGTATTCGGGGAAGATGAGGGGAGAGTCCGTAAATTGGTATCGGCTCTTGCCCTCTTTTTGCCTGGTTCTGGGAAATGTGCAGAACGAGTTCAAACCTGGATATCTGGCCCCTTCAGTCTCACTGATATCTACCGCTGGAAACTTATTGGACTGCAAAGGTATGTAAACTGAAAATCATTCTGATGTGTGATAAGACCGGTGTAGACCCTGGTCTATACTATCACAAAACTATTGTTTTAACTACGTGATTAAAGGTACCCTTTTAAATCCTAATTTAGGGTATAAAAGGGGACTCAGGGCTGGTCAAGCTAGAAAAAATAATATAAATTGAACTTGGAAAAACATTAGGGTATCGTTTAATCACTGGCAGGGCAATTTGACCTGAGGATAGCACAAAGGTTAACATTTTGGAGTGCATCATACAAGCTATTTAAACTGATTTTATTGCACCACATTTATTTCACCCAGATACAGTATATTTGCTATGAAAGCACTGTTGTGGCTGCAGGGGCCTTCCTGAGTGGGAGCACACCAGACTCCACCCATTTCCTCAAATCTTCAGGTTAAAACTGGACTCACCTGAGGAAATAGGTGGAGTTTGATGTGCTCCTGCTCAGTTTGCAGCTAAAACCTGCAGCCACAGTTTGATTCCCCTGCTATAGATTCATTGATACTAATTGCTTTGAAACGCAGAAGTAGAAATGGCGCTAGCTGTTGGCTGTTTGCCAGAGCTGCATGTGAAACACCTCATTTGCAGAGGTCATATGACATGAAGTAGTGTTTTGAAATACTAGCTTTAATCTTTCTGCTTCATAAATTTGATACATGTTTCAAGGATAACATGTAAGTCCATTACCATACAAACAGATACGGCAGGTAAAAAAAGAGACTATTTCCATTTCTTTATCCATTACCTATGCTAATTCATGTCTTGTAAAATACAGGGACAACTTTTATAATGGGATTTTAAGTCGTATTTGTTTGGATTTAAAGTTAAAATCAGGGGAAGTTTTCTTGGCAGACCTCCTTTTCAACACTCTCACTCAGCTCTAACTCATTCATGGGAATCCTGAGGTGTTCCCAGGCCAGCTGAGGGAGGGACTCAGTGCCTTCAGTTTGTCCTTGGTCTTTTCTGGGGCCTCCTCCCAGTTTGACATCCCCAGAATAGGCTTCAAGGAAGAGTTTGAAACAGATGCATGAGCTCTTCTAGGCGTGATGAAGCAGCAACTCCTCACCTCTGCTTGGGCTGCTTGGGCTTTGTCTGCTACTGGCTTTTGATCCAGGGGCTGTCTGCGCCAGTGCTGATGTAGTTTTGGTGCTTGTGCATATTAGATGGGGGGGCATCTTCACACAAGTCTGCATAGTGTTATATGGATGCTCTTCTTCTGTCTATCAATCATATATATTTCAAAAACTCACAAATGGCTAAGCGGGGTCCTAGAATTATGTATTATGTATTCTCTGATTTTCTCCTCAGAATCTCCTCTCCCCTGGGGTCCAGCACACTTTATTCACTATCCCGCTACAGTCGCTACATTTCTATCCTGGACATCGATCAGAAGACCTTGCATTGCCCCCCATACCGCGGCCAGTTACTGTCCAACATCGCTGACCACCGCACTTACATTCGCCGTGGCTCCACCTATTTTCTGCATCTCCAGAGCATGCTATGTCAGCTGGCAGCCAAGGCATTCCTGTTGACTTTCACCCATCACCTTCACCTGCCTGTCAGCTCTGAGGAGGGTCCTGAGGTGGTGCTGGGCCGACGCCTCTGTTTCCTCCAGGAGCAGCTGGGTCTGTGTGAGGAGGATTGTCAGATTATGCTTTATCTCAGCCAGCTCATCACCCAGTACTACCTGAACCCCTCCAGTGGGAGCAGCTCTGCCCCACAATGCTTTTCTTTTAAATATACCACCAGCGTTTTATACAAGATTTAAATTCACACTTTTTAGTAGTAACCAACTATTTTGAAAGACCAAATTAGGGATCTTTTACAAAAACCTTCTGTATTGATGAGTCTACTAGTTTATACTGTCAGTCTGTAAATGTCAGTTTTCAGCTTGGTTTCTCTATAGAATCTTCAGAATCAGTGTTGTCACATGTTTGCCTGAATTGAATATTAAGTGAGTAGGTAGAACTCAAAGTTCACAGCAAGAAGTTTGTGGGTTCGATCTTTTGTTGGAGTTTAACGGTTTCTCCCTATGTCTGGATGAGTTTACTCCACTGCACTAGAGGAAAAATCCTCCAGCCGAGCATTAACGTCTGGACTGCAGTGACCACTGCTCCTGACATGTTTCCCTCATTGCATTGTGGGATGGGTACAATTCAGAAGACAAATGTAGGTACTTAAGAATGCTGATTTAAGAAGGTGGTTGCACATACAACCACAAGTTAAGCTAGTTGTTAATGTGGTGACCTTTGTGTGATCCAGAATATTTGTTATTTACATCACAACTGCTTTCCAAAAGTTGTTTGAGTACGACATATTATGAATAATGTATAATTTACTGGTTTACAAATTAATTTCATATACACTAGCATATCTCCTTGATGGCTGGTTTTGAAAGAAAAGCGTTTTTATATTGGTGGATTTTATTCAAAAAAAAATTGCTGAAAACCCATTTGCATGAGAGAATACGTATCTGCAGTGTATGTGCATGACTCACTGTAGAGAGCAGAATCTACAATTCTGTCTGCAAGCATTTCAGTTTCAGGAGAGTTCAAAAGACCTGGCGTAAATGTATCAAATGCTGTGTTGTCCTAAATTTGTAAAAGAATGTGGTGTTGGCATGAGCCTGTGTTGACAGGGCGAGTCTGCAATGATCATACCGTTTCGTAAATAAGTTTGGACTAATTATGAAGCTTAAGACTAGGGTATTGTATTTAAATTCCAAAAGATGGACTGAAATCTTTCATAATTTTGACGTGTGCTATAGCATAGTTGCATTTTTTGTATTGGTCTCCATGGAAGATATTGTTAAATGTATTTGAACTGTAAAAGTAAGGTCAAATGTGTTGGATAATGGCTGTTTTAAGTATTCAATTCATTTTTTATATTATAGTGATACTTGGGTTTTGCACTGAATTGGTTTTAATAGTATGTAAATGTGATTGTAATCCAAATAAGCCATACCACAGTGCTTAACAAGGCTCACTGTCCTGATTTCTAGCATGCCATTGTAAAGTATTGTGTAATGTCTTACAAAGGGTATTATTGGAAATTAAAGTCTCAATATTGTCTTAATGTTTAAAGAATTAAATTCATATTGAATCAAATCATTAAGACAAATCTATATCTAAAAGTTGACCTTAAGACCCTAAACATGTTGGCTTTTGGTATTTTAGGTAAGATGGAATAGGCCCAGCCCGGCGTGGCACAAGTTAAATTATAATGTTCCTAGATAATGAATGCCTAAGGGCATCTTCCAGGAGCCCTTGTTTAACTTTGTGTTTAAGTTTAAAGTTTACTTGTGGACTCACACCTTGCTCTCTGCTGCTTGAGTCTTGACGCTAACTTTCTCTTCAACCTTAAATGTATCAAGAAAATCTGTAAAAGGTGTATATTTTTATTTAAAACATCACACTGGAAAAAAACCCCACCTTAGATCAAAAAGACATTAAAATAAAGTTGTTTACTTAAGGAATGATGAAAAATTAAATGACTGTCGAAAGAAATCTCACAATTATCAAGACAATGACAACCAATAACGATCACATATATTGAGTGACCACTACTCGTACTCAAAGAGATTTATAGGGGTAAAGCAAACATGAAATTAACCAGAACATCCTCTGCAACCACAGTGAGTGCATTCAATTATCCTTCCCTGGAGAAAGAAAAAAGGACAAAACAGTTATCCCTCATTGAACCTAATAATAACAGTCAAGTTACATCCACATAAATGGAGACTTACAACTTCTAGTTTGCTCTTGGGCACACGACAGATGCAGTTCGTTCCAAAGTTGGTGTCTCTTGTTTGGATGCAGCGCAGGCAACAGAGGTTCTCATACCCCTGCTTTTTCCACTTGGCAATCAGATTCTTATCAGCATAGCCTTCTTTAATGCAGTAATCATACAATTCTTGAGAGGAAAATAGACGAGTCAACATTTAACATAGCATTGATTATAGGCATAATAATCTGACAAAAGAGTTACCTCTGCTAATTGCTTTTCTTTTGTAGAACAGGTCGTAGATGTACCGACTCCGCTGATGATGCAGTCTGAAGATCGGCCAAAGCGCTTCCACCTTTCGTTTACCTTCGTGTGGGTCCGTCTCAGCTAAACAGACATAATCAAATTAGCCTGCATTTCATTGACAATTCTAATTGATCTATAATGTGAACCTGTGCAACAAAGACTGGTGTATAATTACAGCTCAACACAAAACAATAACGATCAACTCGGAATTGTGGTCCCCTGGCTTAATGTGCGCACCTTCTCTCATTTTCTGATCCAACTCGTCCAAAGTAGGCTCAATAAGTTCCCATCCATCTGGAGGTGGTTTCCGGCTCCTTTTCACTTTCGGCATACTTGATTTTATACAAAATAAAACAAGAACTCTGTTAAGGATGCAACCTCGAGCTGTTCCTTTGCGCTTTTAAATGACGTCACATCAGGGTCCTTTTTTGTTGTCTCAGGTTTGACGTCACGAAATCACAATGAAAATAAATCACATTATAATTATCAGTGCGTTACTTATGATGAAATAAATGCATCTGCACTGGTTATGATGATTCGGTTTCTCACATTTTATAATTTTTAATATAAATTTAGTTGGCTAACTATATCATTGCCTTCTCCTAAACGACACGTTTTCTATATTTGTATTTGATGGATTGACACGTGATAATAAATGAATCCATATATATAGTTTATTTTAGCCATTTCTTGGTCAACAGTACTGCTTTGATCATATTTACTAACAGGCAACTCTCCGGGCTACTGAAATCACTGTTTTTCGTATCGAATTTAGCCAGCTGTCATCTCCGCTCTCTTTTACTTCTATCAATGTTCCAAATGTTTAGTTGACCTTTGTGACCATAATTTAACATGCCCAAAGGAGGTAAGATAAACAACACATATATATTGAATGCCGTTAAAAAGTCTATAGTTTTGATTTGTTTATAAACGATGTACTATTACTTATATCCCACTATCAATGTGAAAAAAATATATATTTTGAGTAATGTGTTATATGATGATTAATAATAATGGGGGTCGTGTTTTGTTTGGTCTGTTTTGGTTAATTCCCCCTATTCTCAGTAAGGTTAGGACTCGTGTTGACTTTTTATAGGTAAAAAAGGTGGCCATAAGGGCCGCGCACGAATGTACACCAGCCCTGAGGAGATAGACGCTCAGATGAAGGCAGAGAAAGAAAGGAAGCAGGTAGTGGACATGCAAACTGTGGTGTAAAAGTAGACCGCTAACTGCATGCAATAACACCGCTCAGAGTAACTGTGACTTTGTATGTTGTTGTTGCAGCACGAGCAGGAGGAAGGGGATGTAGCGCAAGACAAGACAGAAGACAAGCTTCCAGGATCAGAGTCAGAAGACAGTGATGATGACTCTTCTGAGGTTTAACCCTTATGCGTTACTTTGGCTGTTGGATAATGATATGATGATTTAGTATTGAGTAGCTAAGTTTTCGTTTCATCAAGACTTAGATATTTTGTTTGTCCCCAAAACAAAAAAGTATTGTTTAAGTAACATTTTGTAAACAAATAAGATTACAACATCAGCTTGGTCCTCTCTTTTCACTTAAAAAGCCGATCCAAAAATCAGGGCCTAACAATACATGTGAAAACAAGTGATAATCAACAAACTACTGATTTTAGAGAATGGTCATTGCATAGTTATTTTTTGTGGTTTCAAAGTTAGGTTATCCAGTTATAATAGTTGAAGTAAGTCCATTGTTGTTCATGTTTTGTATTAAAATAGTCCCCTCCTTGGCTCGCTTGTATGGCAAGCATTTAAATTTCAAAACAATTCTTTTTGCAGGTGCATAACTTTTCTGGGTAAGGGGTGCCACTTTTCTCCATGTTTTTTCACGTTATGTTCCTAGGAATGGCCTGAATTGTGTTAGTCTTCATAGACAAATATCACCATTGTGACAAGGAAGTGTTATTTATTTGCATTTTAATTAACTGAACTATTGTGTGCACAGAAAAAAAAGACTGGTGTAGAAGGCTTAATAGAGATCGAGAACCCCAATAGAGTTTCTCAAAAGTCCAAGAAGGTGACCCAGATTGAACTTGATGAACCGAAGCAGTTATCAAGAAGAGAAAGGTAGGCTAATAGTGTGTCTTTTTAATGCTGTTCATTAATTTTTAAAAAAAGCAAATACTAGAGAGTAACATCCATAAAGAATTTGGTGGACAGTTGTTGCCCCCGCCAGGAGGTTTTGTTTTCATTAGGGTGTTTTTGTTGATTAGTGAGCAAGGTATCTAAAAAATGAAGGGGGTGGGTGTTTCTGACATTTTCTGTAAATCAGGCAAAGGAGAAAATTTTCAGATTTTGGATATGATCCGGATCACCATCTGGATCCAGGAATTGTAATGATACGACTCCTCTTGGCGGAGGTCTGCACTCTACAAGTGCTTTTCTAGTTTAACTGTTTGTTTGTATATGTTTCAGAGAAGAGATAGAAAAGCAGAGAGCAAAAGAACGGTACATGAAGATGCACTTGGCAGGAAAGACAGACCAGGCTAAGGCAGACCTTGCCCGCCTTGCAATTATTAGAAAACAAAGAGAGGAGGCAGCAAGAAAAAAAGAGGAAGAGAAAAAAGGTATGTTTGGGAAACAAATCAGCAATTGTCCTGCAACTAGAGATTATATTTTCACTTTTTACTTTCAGCTAAAGAGGCGGCTGCTGCAAGAGGAATGAAATAAAAGGCTTGTTCAAGGAATCATGGACTGGCTCAGAATAAGACATTTTCATTAAAATGAATAAGGTTTAAGGACGAAGTGTGTGTTTGACACCGTACATCTCTTAACAATAGTTACATCAGTACTAAGATGTTTTTCCTATTCACATGCAATCCCAATGAACATGTGCATTTTTGCAACAATACTGATATAGTTCTTAGTCACTGTATATTTAACTATATTGCATTTTTTATTATCACTATATTTATTTATGATAAACGTATTTATTTGGTTTAACAATGAAGAGGGGTTCTGATTCAGAGCTGCATAGAAAGTACAATAAAGCGCTTCTAATAAAACAGCACTTCTTTTTTCTTATTATGTGGTTGAAGATATTTGGCTGATACCATATATAAACAAAGTAGACCTGTTAATGAATGATACCATATATGAACAAAGTGGCTTTCAAGTCAGTGAGGATGTCACTGCGCCTGCGCACTTTCACATAGAGGCTGAAGAGCAGCGCACTGATTGGTGCAAAGTTTGGCGGACTTTCCCCTTGTTCCCCTTACTGCTGTGTCCGTGTCCACCGCATGGTCTGACTGTCGCCTGACCACAGAATCACACCCAACAAGCTCCTGGTAAGATAATAATGAAGGCTAAAAGATAAAAGTCTACGCAGACTTTGAAGCAAGTTGTGTATTTGTAAGTTATATATTTGTATATGTGGTTCATTGTTTGACACGTTCTCCAGCTAATGTAACCTCACCATGGATCTATTCTATTGAACCTCTATGAAGATGTTTAGTTATTTTAAGGATGTATTCAAATGGGTGTAACGGTCTTTAAAAATAACATAACATGAGACGCCATGTGTAGGCCAGTGGGTAAGAATTGGACTGCAGTGCGTTTGCCACTAATAAAAGTCTGGCTGTTATAACCTTGTTAACCCACTTTCGACGGAATGGGTTGTTGTTGTCAAACCAGAGTCGTATCTTATCTCTAGTTTTGTAACGGGGTTGTGTGGGTCTGCCAGGTCATTTGCGGCCAGTGTACTCTTCACTGTTAAACTGTTTATCACATGCTGCAGAGTGAAGCTGATCCTCATTCACCAACATGTCTCTGACAAATGGCCATTGTGTGAGCGAAGAAACTTGGGAGTGTCACAACAAGATGATGCTGGAACCTCTTGCTGTCAATGACGCTGAGGTCTGTACCATTGTTTCATGTTTCTATTTTGTACTCACCAATTATATTTTATTTCACAATGGCTTTTGTACATTTGATTAACAATATGAGCTAATTACTCCAAGTATATTCTGTATCACAGGTTTTCTCAATCATAAAGAAGGAGAAACACCGGCAGACGTATGGCCTGGAGCTGATTGCATCAGAAAATTTTGCAAGCAGAGCTGTTTTAGAAGCACTGGGATCTTGTATGAACAACAAGTATTCAGAAGGTTACCCTGGTCAGAGGTATGTCTGCATTTATCATGCATTTTTCATATACATTGTTTAAGTGATGGGGCCTTTTCAGGTACTATGGTGGTACAGAACATGTGGATGAGCTTGAAAGACTCTGTCAGCTTAGAGCACTGGAGGCCTTTGGTCTAAACTCTGAAAAATGGGGTGTCAATGTGCAGCCGTATTCTGGTAATAGACAATTGTTCTCTGTGTAGATACTGTATACATCACTTAAGTTGTCTTGCTTTTCTTAGGCTCTCCTGCAAACTTTGCTGTTTATACTGCTATTGTGGAGCCCCATGGGAGAATAATGGGACTGGATCTTCCTGATGGAGGTCACTTGACTCATGGTTTTATGACCGAAAAGAAGAAAATCTCAGCAACATCTATATTTTTTGAGTCTATGCCTTACAAGGTATGTTTAATGATTTAATTTTAAATGGAAGATTTTTATTTTCTTGACAAAAACGTTAAAAATAATTGATGTGGTCGTCCCCTCCCCCAAGGTAAACCCTGACACGGGATACATAGACTATGACAGACTTCAAGAAAATGCTAAACTATTTCATCCCAAACTAATAATTGCAGGTTAGTACCTCATTATTTATATAATTTAAAAGTAATTTATTATACATTATACATAACTCTTATTCTTGTAACAAGGTACAAGTTGCTATTCTCGTAACCTTGACTACGCTCGCATGAGACACATTGCAAATGAGAATGGTGCATATTTGATGGCTGATATGGCACACATCAGTGGCTTAATTGCGGCTGGAGTTGTTCCATCGCCATTCGAACACTGTGACATTGTTTCAACAACTACGCACAAGACACTGAGAGGATGCCGGGCTGGACTTATTTTTTTCAGAAAAGGTGTGATGACAATTCTCCTGCAAAACTTCTCAAATGTAAATAATATGCACATACTTGTTTTGCTTTGGAACAGGTGTCAGAAGTATTGATGCAAAAGGCAAGGAGATTATGTACAACTTGGAGTCTCTTATCAACCAAGCCGTTTTTCCTGGTCTGCAGGGGGGACCACACAACCATGCCATTGCAGGTATAATGTCATGAACTGTCTTTGTTAAGAGCATACATGCTTGTTCTCATGGGGGTGCAATGGCGCATTTGTATTGTCATGGCTTTGACTTGCACCCCTCTTCTTTGTTTGTTTTGGCTCTTTTGTTTAAAAATAATTTTATTTTTATTAGGGGTAGCTGTAGCTTTAAAGCAAGCAATAACTTCAGAGTTCAAGGCCTATCAGATGCAAGTTTTAGCCAACTGTAAAGCTCTCTCCAATGCCCTTATTGACTATGGCTACAAGATTGTGACAGGTAAGTCCTAAGCTAAAATCTTGCAGCAGCAGCACATAAAAGTATGTTATATATTAAGTTTTGCAGTGTTTGTTTTTTAGGGGGTTCTGACAACCACCTCATCCTTCTGGATCTACGTACCAAAGGCACTGATGGAGGAAGGGCTGAGAAAGTTTTGGAGGCATGTGCTGTTGCTTGCAACAAGAATACTTGTCCAGGTACACTCTAATAATGATCAATTTCAATAATTAATTTTTAATGGATTTGAAAAATTATCTATTTTTTTTCAAAGGAGATAAAAGTGCTTTACGTCCGAGTGGCCTGAGGTTCGGCTCTCCAGCTCTAACATCGAGAGGTTTTGTTGAAAAAGATTTTAAGAAAGTGGCAGAGTTCATCCACAAATGTAACTAACTTTTCTTTCAAATGATCGATTACCAGTAATCATTAATTATTCTTAAATGTTTTGTTTTTTTTGTTGCATGTTATTTGTAGGTATTGTCTTGACATTGGAAGTGCAGAAAAGTATGGATCCTAAGGCGACCCTCAAGGAGTTTGTTCAGTCTTTGTCCCAGGGGGAGAAGTTTCAACAGCAGATATCTGTGATCAGAGCTGAGGTGGAGGCCTTCGCTGGTCAGTTCCCTATGCCTGGTTTACCTGAGCTGTAGGGTTGGGTTAAAGAGAAAAACGTATTCATTTTACAATTGTTTGGATCGAAAATACATCAAATACAATAAGAAAAAAATCCTCATTCAATAATTTTATTTGACCACCCACATGGGAATGAAGAATAAAGCTTGTGTATATATATATGTGTCTCTGTGCCAGTGTTTCAGTTTTCTTAAATGATTTGTAGCTGTATGTATTAGATAGGTCTGAAAGATTGAGTGTTCTACCTAATGCATTACAAATCTTATTTCTTGCCATGAACGCATAGCTGTATTTGTATCAGTTAGAGCAGGGGTCTCCAACCTTTTTCAATCGGAGAGCTACTTTCATACAAACAAACAGGCAGAGAGCTGCTCCTTTTTGCAGTCGTAATAAAAATCGATCTAATAATTATGACCAAACTCAGAACACATATAAAATACACCATAATACTGTATAACCCTATATTTATACTTAAAATAGATATGTCATGGGTCAAAAAGTATTCGTTGAAGTGTATTTGTCATATTCAAACTCCTTTGGCGAGCTACCTGTAAGAGGCTGGCGAGCTACTGGTGGCTCCCGAGCTACAGGTTGGAGACCCCTGAGTTAGAGGCAATCTCTAGTGCTAATCGGCACTTGGGAGTGTTCTAGAGAAGGGGTTTAGTAGACTGTAAACATGGATGTATTGGCTGGAACATTGTTCAAGGTCATGGGGTGATGTGCTCCTATAAAGTAATTGGTGGCTCTCCTGGTAGTAGTCTGCCAGAGACAGAAAAATGCACTCTGTGTACTGCTCGGTACTCGACAGCAGAGTCTGTACAAAGCGGCGTTGCTCGGTATTCGACAGTGGAGTCTGCTGTATACAGAGCGGTGTGAGGCTACATGGAGCTGCAGTTTGTTAGCACCTCAAGAAAAGCATTTTCCAACACTAGCACCGATCTTTGATAAAACGTATACGGGCACATCTGATAGAGGACCACAGCAAACCAGCCGTCTCGGCATTTGTTGTGGAAACGGTCTATGTTTTGCATTACTTTTCAACGTGGCTAAGTCGGCTAGCCCACCTGGCTAGCGTTAGTGAAACTAGCGATCGGCAAACTAATAAACGCACCGATTCTTGTAACTTTTTAATCGATCAAAGCAACATGCAGGACTTACTCGCCAACGTGGATCACATCAAGTTTGATCTGGAGATCGCAGTGAGACAGCAGCTGGGTGCTCAGCCCTTGCCTTTCCCTGGCATGGACAGTAAGTTCCTCTTGTTAGCGGCTACGTTAGCTTCACTTATGGCTTTGCTTCTGCTTAATCGGTTTGTTTTAACACCTTACTTAGACCGATGTGCCTGTACAGGTACAACTGGATTTTAACCTTTCTTATTTACAGTGTTAATGTTCCCTTTTTGCCAGCCTATTGATAAAATATAACCGTAAACTCCTGTAAATGTGAAATTCAATTATAGTCACTCATTCTGTGATGAACCTAGATTGTTTTGAACTCCAAACTTACTAAAACATTAGGGGAAATGAATAGGATTTTCACTCTTGGAGCCTTATGGCTTGTCTCCAAATCAGATTTCCTGTGACATTTGCCTCAGCTGTGGGACCCTCTAAGTTACCCAGACAACAGCTATACCCGCCTATATATTTATCCATCAATCCATCCATCCAATGGAAAAAAAATTAGAATAAGATTGTTCCTGCTCATTAGAGTGAATGAGTAATCAGATGCCACAAAAAGAGCTTCAAAAATTTGCTTGTGTTCCAAAGGGTTCTCAGACCGATTCTGTTTTGGAGAGAATATGTCAGTGTATGTTAAGATGTTACCTGAGAAAATCCATGCTTTGGGCAGAGGTTGGAGGAGTCTTCTAAAGTATTATTACTTGAGTGAAAATTTTCAACTAACCATAAAAGTCTTAACCAAGGGCATTACATTTGATTTTTTTTGCTCATTACAAGAAATGTCCATTAAATTTTCTTTTGCTTCATCTGTTGCTGGGTTGTGTGGGCAGCAGTCAGCAGAGACACCCAGTCTTCCCTATCCACACACACTTCCTCCAGCTCATTCAGAGGGACCCCAAGGCGTTCCCAGGCCAGCTGAGACATAGTCCCTTCAGCGTGTCCTGGGTCTTCCCCGAGGTCTCATCCTGGCGGGACATGCCCAGAACACCTCCCTAAAGCCACTCTGTGGCGGAAGCTAATTTTGACAGCTTGTATCTGCGATCTCGTCCTTTCGGTCATAACTAGTAATCAGATATGTGCGAGAGAAAAAATAATTTATAGTTTGATAGCAATGAGCCAAACTTTATAGACATGCCCTCTCAATCTTTTGTACAGCTGTGATGTCTCACCAAGACAAGTCTATGGGGTTGTTGTTTACCTGTCTGTAGCAGCTTTATGAACTTTTCCCATTAAAAATATGAAATTTTGTTTTGAAACCCTTCGATAGGGCATATTAGGTTATTTTGCAAAACATATTTTTCATGACTTATATTCTGTGTTCACAAATTCGATTTGGAGGTTGTTCGTCTAACAGATTGTATGATTATGACTGTAGAGTCTGGATCTGCTGTGTGCGAGTTCTTCATGAGAGCCGCCTGTCAGAAAGGTATGGACACAATGTGATCTTCAACGCTGATTTTAAAAAAGTACTGAAGCAAAAAACAGCGGATTGTATTTTATCTATAGGTGGAATGTGCCCCTTTCGCCACATCAGTGGAGAGAAGACTGTAGTTTGTAAGCATTGGCTCAGAGGGCTGTGTAAAAAGGGTGACCAGTGCGAGTTTCTCCATGAGTATGACATGACTAAAATGCCGGAGTGCTATTTCTATTCCAAATTTGGTACGTTTCTTATTTTAAATGGACCTTTTTTCTTCTGTTGCCTTTTATTAACTTTTTACATTTTCAGGTGAATGCAGTAACAAAGAATGTCCCTTCTTACACATTGATCCAGAGTCTAAAATTAAAGACTGTCCTTGGTATGACAGAGGTTTCTGCAAACATGGTGTGCCTTTTTCCCCCTAATTTTAAAGTATTATTTACAAATGTATTATTCAAATAATTATCTTCTTGATGCAGGCCCTGACTGCAGGCACCGGCACACAAGAAGAGTAATCTGCGTGAATTACCTTGTTGGATTCTGCCCAGAAGGAAAGTCATGTAAATTTATGCAGTAAGTACTTTTCAACCCAATAATTAAATGCTTTGAGTTAGGGTTATGTTGGTAGGAAGCTAGAATACCAATGACAATAACATTATTCTTTTGATAGACAAGCTTTTGAAAATTATTGTAAATAATGTACTTCCTGTTCAGCCCCCGGTTTGAGTTGCCAATGGGAGCGTCGGAACAGCCGCCTCTGCCCCTGCAAGGCCAAAACCTGACAAAGGTAAACCCATTTTAAGTGCATGCATTATACCTAATGTCAGAACTTGTATAAAGTGGGTACATAAAATGTGGTTGTTTTCTTACAGGTTTCATCTGTGGGTCGCTCCTCACTTTCATTAATCCAGTTGACCAACTCTAGTCCAGGCCCACGAATGCAGAACATGATGTCCACTGGGCTACAGCAGGGTAACATGATGTCCAGAGGCCCACGGCCACTGGACCAGGTCACCTGCTACAAGGTTTGTGATAAGATTCACACATTGCTTGAATAACCAGTTTGAATTTAATGTTTGCTACTTATTTGTTGCAGTGCGGTGAGAAGGGACACTATGCCAATAAGTGCACTAAAGGTCATCTTGCTTTCCTGAGTGGACAGTAGCACCAAATCCTTTCTCATCAGTGCAAAGCTGCTCTGAAAAAATGGCAGCAAACTGGAAAGACTTTTTTCTGGCAACTGGGAGAAAGGGCAAAAACTTTGCCACAACATTGTTTACATTAGGTGTAAACATTCTGCCAGATGACAATTTGTATGCACACCATTGTTGGTTTTACTGGTGGTCCAATATGAATTAGATGGAAAGGTTGCACAGGTCATCCAGGTGGCCCTTTGGACGAATTGCATTCGTTTCCAATGCTTTACCAGAAACGGCAAAGTTTAAGCATTTATCAGCGGGGGAAATATGTAACCTTTGACTCAGATTCTCATGAGGTGCCTTCCAATAAATCCTCAAGTCCTTTTCAAAGTTTGTCTACTTTCCTAAATAAAGTGATTCAAATTCAGTGCAGATGCATTACAAAGCTATAACCAGTCTCTGAAGTGACATGAATAAACTAATTGTATTGATATCCCAGGGAATGTTACTACTCATAGCTTTCCTTATGCTACTGTTGGGTCAAAATGGGGCTGATTTTGATTTCCTAACTTGACCAACCCTGGCTCATCTAGACCCTAATCACTGGTGGGTCATTCTGATCCAAGGATAGCACAAAGGTTAAATGAATTGACTAAATTCATCACATTTAGTCTAATATTGATTAGTCTTTGGATGTTGCAGCTAGAAACTGGTTTCTCCAGTGGCTGGATGAGTCAAGAGGAAGCCCCACAGAAACCTGTAGTACAATACTGCTCAAAAGTCATGTTACAAAACCTAGCAATATAAAAGATTCAATTTTGTTTAATATTTATTGGTCACAATCACAAATTAAACAGATGAAAGCAAGGTTCTGCAAGAGAATGCATCAGCCCTTCAATGGTACTTCCTCCAGCGATCGTGTTCTGAAATTACATAGTTATATTTTTTGCAAAATTGGAGAGAATCAAAAAAGTAAAATATGATTCTTACTGATGTGGTCGTATTCCCACATATAGCTGAGTGCTACGTATCCAACAAGGAGCATGGCCACCCCCCCAATACCTCCTTTCTTTACATTGATGTACTTATTGTAGTATCTGTCATGGCCTAAAGGGAAAAGAAAAGACGTCATTTAAATATAAATCATTTTTAAAACAAGAAATCAGCTTTTAAGAACAGTACCTTTGCGAAGGGACGCAATAAGTCCATTTGGAGTGAAGTCTCGACCTCCAATCCAGGTTCCGAGTTCTCCCAGCTTCACATCCATCAGTCGCTTCTCTGCGATGGCCACTGTCCACAAAAGCAAATGTAATTTTGCCTTCAGACAAGACTGATATGTTTTTAAGTACTTAGAAGGTAAAATGTGTGTACTCATTCAAACCTGCATGTAAAGACTGACCTCTCAGGACCGTTTTCAGCCAACTCATTAGGGTTATATTTAATTTAAAAACTACAGATTGCTAGTTTAATATGAATTCACTAAAATTATCTTTCAATGAAAAGCATCGCTGTCAAAACAAACACGCCATGTCAAAGTTTAAGACCCAGACGCGTTATTGTCACTAACGTTAATAATAAGACTATACACATTTACGACAAAGTGCAACTATTTGGATACATTGAAAGGGAATCTGCCCCATACATCTTGCTCTGGACACAGTGGATCAGTGCTAGTGTAACCCTAGCATAAGGGGCTAATGGCACACGGCCCACAATGTCCTTGTGTCCCTGGCTGCAATATTATGATCCACTGTGGAAACTCCATGAAATGACCAACTAAATAACTCAGAAGACAAAGAAATGTTGACAGACTTTTTAAAACTCCCTTTCTTTGCAATGACACTCGAAGTCCTTGACGGGACTTGATGACCGAGAGCGTGATTCTGTATTTACATTAAACACGACAAGCGCGAATGTTGCACTAAAATAACACATTTAATCGTGTCAAAAAACACTAACACAGAGTTAACCACAGCAGAGGGATATATTCGTTTTAAATGCAGAGGACATGCTGAGGTACCTGGTCTGTCCGCCATCTTGACTGGAGGTTCGTGAGCTGAGAGCAGAGGACGATGGGAAAAGCGTCAAGCATTATGGGTAGTTAAAGTCACTGCATCACGTGTCCAGCAGGTGGCAGCAGCAGGGCCCCACAACGCCTCACTCAAAACGGATCTGTTTGTCTACAGTTATAAGAGCTAAAAGATGTATGGGCTATATTGTAAAATCTATAGAGGAGGGTGGATGGAATGTTATTGATTTTGATCCCATGAATGGTGCCTTAAAACTTCGATGGTTACAACATTTTATTACAAATCTTAAGAGTTCCTTGTTCAGTCTCCCCTCAAAAATATTCTTGAACTTCGGTGGAATTGAATTTCTTATCCAATGTGACTTTTAAATATTGAATTTACCTACTAAATTATCCAAATTTCATGAGCAAGTCCTCCAGTATTGGAAATTGATATATAGTCACAATTTGTCGCCACATAATACACCTTGGAATGCTCAGATAAAACAAATATTGAATAAAATGGGCAGGAGTATGGCCGCGGTTCGGCACTGCAGAAAATGCATACCAACTCGAATACGGAAAACTTTGGTGGAATCAATAGTGTTGTGTCATCTGGACTATTGTTCCATCATTTGGGCAACATCTACAGAGAATAATATAAATAGATTACAGATTGCACAAAATAAAGCAGCTCGGCTTGTCCTAAACTGTTCTTTTAGAACAAGTATTAGGGACATGCACAACCAGTTAACATGGCTGCATGTAAGAAGCAGAATCACTTATTCTCTTATTAAATTCCTAAAAAATACAATTACTTTAAAAGCACCTGAAATAATTTATAATAAATTGACTTTTTTTAGTAACATTCATTATCATTTCACTCTTTCACTTTTTGTTACCTGCCTGTCGAACAAATCAACTTCAGAGGACATCGTGCTATAGGGCAATGGTGGCATGGAACTCGCTCCCGCAATTCTTGGTTTTAGAGATTCACAATATCAGTTTTTCCAAAAGACTTAGACTGTATTTATTTACTTTGGAGTAACTGTAATAGTTATGCAATTAATATGTACTTTATAATGAGCTATAGTAACTTTTTTTTTTTTTTTTTTTTTTTTTTTTTTTTTTTTAATACCCAGAGGGTGGCAATATTTTGTATAGAAGAGCTTGTACTGTTTTATGTTATGTTATGTTATATGTGTGTGTATATATGTTTATGTGTGTTTATATGCATGTATATGTATGTGTATATGTTGTCTGTATACGTTATATTGTATTGTCATGTTCCTTGTATATGTGTTCGTGTGCACTTCTGTGTTTGTCTTCATTGTTGCACAGCTTTGATGTAATATCTGTTAAGAAATTTTTAAGACCCCAGGAAGAATAGCTACTGTTTTATTTCAGTAGCTAATGGGGATCTAAATAAATAAACAAATAAACCTATATGGAATAATTGATATATTCTGATTAGAAGGAAATCTTTTTATTATCAGCATTGGCATGAAAAGGGTATATGGTCAGTTTTACACTTAATGGATGATACAGGTAATTTTCTTCAGTTTATTGATTTCACCCAGAAATACAATGTGATTACCACAATTTTTACGAGTAATCAAGGCTATTCCACAAGCTCTTGTTTGTGCAATTATGGGATCTCTAATGTATTCACAATTGGCTCCAAAAATATATCCATTACTCGTTCTAAATTGTAATTTTGTGGACAAAAAATGTAATAACAAATTTCTAAGAGCAGCATTATCCAATAAATACTTCCCTTTGCCGTTAAGAAGACAATATATTATGAAGGATCTCCCTAAACACAATGTTAAGTTTTTCAGATGCATCTACATAAAATTCCCTGTCCTACCTAAAGCTAAAGAAGTTCGATTTAAATTACTGAACAATGTATACCCTTGCAAAGAATTTTTACATTCCAAATTCAATATTGACAATAATGTGTGTGTTTTTTGCGATACCAATATTGAAACAGAGGAACACGTTTTTTTCACATGTGTACACTCAAAAAAAATTTGGGATAGTTTCTGTGCTTGGTCTAGTAGTAATACTTTAGGTATTATGGACTTTAATTATCATGACATCAAATTTGGAGTCTTACTGGAGGACAAAAACAAAGAATTTACAATTAACAACTGTATTCTCATGGCTGTATTTTTCATTCACAAATGTCAATTTAGTAATTCCAAACCCTTGTTTAGGATATTTCTGAGCGACTTGTCAATCTTTAGGGACTCTTTGAGGCTGTGTAACTCAAAGAATGCAATTTGTTTGTATGAAAATATTGTGAATTTACCTCTGACCCTTGTGACTCAGTAATGTAGCTTTCTATGTTCTTGTTCTGTTCTTTTGGGTTTTTTTATGACGCGAAACTGAAATTGTACAAAATATGTAAGCCTGTTTGATTTGTTCAATAAAAAAATATTATCCAGCAGCATCAACACTCAAAAACAGATTTGGATTTGAGGTGGAGTCATGTGCTTTTTGTGCAGAAGAATAAATTGTTAAACATCTCTTCTGACAAAACAAAACTCTTTTGGCGAGCAGTAATCAAATTGGTAAAAAGTTAAAATGAAAAAAAAGAAATGCATACATAATTGGAGCAAGTGCTTTTTGGTATCAAGAATCTACCAAAGATGTGTAATATCATTATAATTATTGGTAAATACCACCTACACATATACAGGGCACTACAGGGCAGAAGCAACAGAAGGAGATCAGAGATTACCATAAAACTACAATCTTTTTCATCATGTAAGGAAAATAAAAGTCATCTGTGTAATTATTAAACGTTGTGACAGTCAGTAATATCTCCATCTATGAGTTTCATGATTTTTAAATTCTTTGCAATTAGCGCAGCATCTTTTTTTCACAAAATGAATTGCTAAATGCCATCTTATTTGTGAAATGTCTATATTGACTAAACATGAGCCTTGAATCACACCACACATTTACTTAAGTAGATTGAGTACAAGGGAAAATAAAGATGAATACATAACATAATAATAAAAAGTCCCCCAATGTTCATCTAGTTCTAGGCCACACACATTTATACTGAGACTAAAACATTCATATAAACAAAACCAGTCCGCCTTGAGCTGGGGCAGGAAATCACAAGTTACACAATGTTAGTGATGACCATGCATCAGTTTCCCAGAACAAATCATTTGATGATAAAACAAATATTCAAAATGGATGGATGGATGGATGGATGTACAGTATTATTGTTGTACAAAGCTGAACAGTGATCCTGACCTATACAAATAGCTGCATTGCCTTACATCCAGTTCACCAGAATCACGCAGAGGCTGGGATCATGTGTTAGAAAGCCTCTTCTCTCTTTTATGCTTCACTGTTGTCTCCCTCCTCTTACCCTCTCGTCCTTTATTGTGCAACAAACCTCTTTCCAGCCTCTCCAGTTTTTGCTTTCTTCCATCTCTCGCCATCAGCTTCAAAGAGCTGTCTCTGTCTGGACCTTGGGGGCACCTGTCTATTGACGTGGAATAAAATCATCCAGTCCCTTGTGTGTTGTGGATGGAGCTGGTGCTGAGACCATTTCTTTCTACAATAATCTTTCTGTAATAATGGCTTGAGCCAATAAACCAAACAACCCGAACACCTTTCCAAAGATGGACTTATGTAGAATACAGTATATGGAAATGATAACTAGATACTAACAGTATTGAAGATCAATTCTAATGTGGATTTATTCTTAATGAAAGCTATTGACAAGATGTCCACATTGTTTATGTCAACATGGCGGCTAAGAATCCAATCTGTCTTTAGGTCAATACATGGATTTACTGAGATTATGATGATGAGATTGAACCATTGACATACCATTTAAATATATCAGTCTTCCTTACAACTGAAAATAAATATCAAAGTATTGAAGACTGCAGAGACAGACAAAACCTACATGCAGCAGCACAGTGGCCTGACTCCAGTGACAAACACATTCTGCAGGATGGCGGCTTTGTTTAAGACAAACTCAAACAAAGCTGTTTGGACTCAGTAATGGACAAAAGACTCGCTGAAGAAGACCACAGTGCAGACCACAGCTGACCTGCAGACTTCAGTTGCACAATTTGTTGATTTGCATTTTCTTAATGGGCGGTATAGAAGGCAGAATGGTTTGTGCAGATCTCAGGTCTTGTTCTCAGTGCAGAAAAAAGGATGGGCTGTGAGATTGTCAGACGGATCGGTGTGGTGAAGCTTAGCTTAGAACACTATCATGGTCAAATGAGCCGAAGTGGGTGGCTGCTTGGTGAGAGGAGCTCAGTCATATGGGAGGAGCTCGGAGTAGAGCTGCTGTTTCTCCATGTTGAGAGGAGCCAGTTGAAGTGGTTTAAGTATCTGTTTCAGAGCGACAAACGCTTATGTTTGAGGCTATGTCTCTCAGCTTGCCCGTGAATGTCTCTGAATCTCCTCAAAGTAGGTGGAGAATGTGGTGGACAGGAAAGTCTGGAAAAATAAAAGGAAAAATACCTCACAATAGAGTATGCTTGTGGTGATTTTCCATTGTGAAGACACATATCAAGATTGAACTTCTTTGCTGATGTCACACAGACTGTTCTTTCTTCATGATGCCGTTTATCAACATTCATGGACATTGGTCAAACTCCCTATGGACCAATATGTGTTCTATATTTTTTGTGTTTGAACGGTTTGATTCTCTGATCTGTGTTGGCGATTTCAACAGTTTTGTTAAGTCCTCTTAGATAACTACTGTTGTGATTTAGAGCTATACAAGAGTGAATTGAATTGTATTTATTTTATGAAGAGCCCCAGGACCTAGGAGTAACAAAATGTGTTTTTTCACGGTGCGCACAAACTGTTTTGGATTGAAACAAACTCCACACAGTCCAGCCCCAGGATTTACAATTCTCGCTGTGATGCTTGAGAGTTTCCAGACTCAATACAAATAGTTTTAAATAACTAAAACCTCTCCCATGACTATAAATCTGTTTTGTAGTCCTCCTAATTTACAATGGTATAGTACAAATATTG